GAAATAAAGTCAGGTCCATTGTTGTCTGAAAACACTGCGTCTACTGATTATTCCTGTATCGCTCCTCACGAGAAGGTTATATATTTTCCTCATCAATACTCCTCTTTCAGAAGAGCGGTTTCATTTATAATAAACTTATAATACCTTTAAATTTCAGATTTCCTTGATGTCGCCTGGAAATACAGCAAGAGAGAAGCAAAGAATATTTTGAACGAAGCAGTAGGAAGAAGAAGTTATTCCGAATAAGGCAATGTAACATAGCGGAATTTTATTGTGGAATCAGTGCTGTGAAAGAATTTTGTTTTTGAAATGCAGAGCGTTTTGTTCACGAAAAAAATTGAATTTCACTTATCCTAGTCTCATATAAGATTGACTGATTGTATGTTTTTTACGTCCCTTTTGTGAATTTTTTCACTCATATGGAGACACCACCACCTGTCAGTGGAGAGCCGCAAATTTTGAGCTATACTTGACACTTACGGCCAATTAGCAAGGAGGGATGTTTTTTTTGCTCACCCACCGCTACCGGTTTATACGGTCTCATCCGAAGGACCAGTCTCCACGTCCTAAAGTGAGATTTGAAGCCGCGACCTAAGGAACAACATTACTTCATACTTTGGAATCTAGAGCAGACGCTCTAACCACTGCCCAACGCGGGCGATGTCTCACATAAGAGATAATAATTATGATACTTTCTATAAACACAGGCTTGATGACAAAATTATATTTTATATTAATCTGTATCAAAGTGCATTGTTTCCTTTCTATAAACACAGGCTTGATTTGTTATAATAAAACATTTTATTTTTAAAAATGTCATTGTATATACAGGCTGTACAATAATTGATTTGAAGTCCAAGTGCATTGTTACCCTAATTTGCAAAAAATTTTATTTTTATATATAGGCCTAAGTATCAACAAAAAATGGACGCCCCGTACACATTTTTTTCATTACCTTAATGCAAATATGAATAGATTTAATTCTTTTCATATTCTTTTAAATATTTAAAGAATTTTTTTTCTTTAAAAGTTAAATATTTATTTTAATTAACAAATTAACAATACACATTATACGGCACACGCTGAACAAAATGAGGTGGGGATACCAATAAATTGTGTATGCGTGACTTCTTACTTTGCAAATTCTATATAAATGTTCTAATAATTATTCTACTGAAAAATCTAGCCCTTCTCTTAATTTTGTTGTAGATTTTTTTTTTATTTCAAAGCTTTTTATATATAATTGACATTGTATATACATATGTGTTTATGCTATTTTTTTCTTCTCTGCCTTCTCTATACTGACAAATTATCTTTTCCTTACACATTTAAACTGCTTTTATTTATTGCCGATTTTTCCCCATTCTTCACATGGCGTTTTTGCTATAAATAGCGATTTTAATACAGACGGGAGATTTGAAACTTTGACCCAAATTCTTACAATAAAAATAATTTTGAGAGGGGCGGGCGGGGATGAGAATCTAAAGATTGATTTTATATGGCCTAATACAATACCACATAGAAAATGGGCCCCTTGCATGTCTTGAAGTTTAATTTTCTTTCAAATTTCAAATATTTTACATACAGTACGTTTACTCTTGGAACCACATTTTTAACTCATTGTACTATTACATAATTTAAATATTCTCAAAATAATGTAAGAATGACATGTATATTCAAATCAATGAAATGCTATATTAAATGCAACTATGATGGAAATTATGTGAATTGAAACATTTTTATTTATCTTTAAACAAAAATATTTTGCGCCATTAAAGAGATATGAACGACATCACTAAAAAGCATAGCGACTGAGTACAATTTGCGAGATAGATTTCCTGTGGAGATGATCTTTAAAAAACACATTAGACATTTTCATGCAGAAAATCAAGAATTTCATGTGAACTTTGGAGTACTTGTATTTAAATCATAATTTTATTTTTATCAAGAATCTTGCAACCGAGAAATGGCAAGATATGTAAATTAAGGAGAATTATATTGTATCCCATTCCACAATGAAAAATATTATGCTTACCTTTGATAGTGATTAGCTGTACTTGTGAAGAGACACCATCAGTTACATCTTTGTTTTCAACGGAAGGGTACTCTACATAATTATTGTTAAAGATGAACCGTATTTTTTATAAATAAAAAGACAGGAAAGATGGGAATCGTCATTGGATTTTATCAGTGAGAATTCCCAAAAACTACTGTTATTCAAGTTGTGAGGAGTAAAAAGGAAATGAAAAAAAATACTGTAAACTCTTTGTACATGCTTTAAGTGCAAGTAGGGGGTTGATGGCTTTTCCAATATGAAATAAATTAACTATGCTTTTAATTTTAAAATAAAATAAATGTAATTAATAAATTGAAAAAGTTCCTCCAGGAAAGTAAAATTCTTCAATTACGGTTTAAGTATCCATTTGAATGAAAAAAAGATCTTACAATGTTACAGAGAAAACGTAAATTTTCTAGGAAATCTCGTTTTAATTGCTCTACCTTAAGATGCTTATAACAAACAATGTATTTTAAATGACTTTGAAAGCAAAGGAAAATGTGTACTTTTTTCCGAGAAGACCTTTTCAATTGAACTTTACAGCATTTTATCTTTAAAAGGCGTATAATGCAAAAACAGTGGGAAACCACTTGTAACCACTTTCATGAATAGAAATACTCTTCAGTTTTTCTGTTCAAAAGCGATGATTTGAAAAAGTTATATACTTAGTAACATCATAAAAGTAAAGGCAGTTTATTTGGTGGCTCTAATAAATCTCAAAATATCTTCCTTGTCGGAAAAAATGTGAAATTCTTCATGAAATCTAATTTCTGTAGAACACAACGCAATGCATCAAAGGTTTATAAAAACTGATATACAAAACAGTGATCATGTTATTTATATGTTCTTAAACTTCGAAATTCTTATGTCTTTATTAAAATGTTATTTCTTCAATTGTACTATTTTGAATTCTTGATAAAATATTTGTTCGAATAACTAAATATCTGCTTAGAATCCATGTTAAAAATCTAGTGAATGATACAATGGCATCCCCTTTAAAAAAAACTTTAAGATAATTTATATATGACAGTTTTTCATCATTTTTTATCATTTTCATAATGTACTGTCATCGTATACCTGGATAATTTTGTGTTGTAAAATTGAATTGTTCATTAACTGCAAAAACAATAAAACAAATTTCCACGTTACAAGTAATTATTTTATTGCAAGAAACATATGGAAAAAACAAACTGTATTCAAGATCAAAAGTCCATAAAACAATACTAAGTAGGAACAGAACAAACACGGACCTACGAAACATCAGAGGTGGGATCAGGTGCCATGGAGGAGTTAGCATCCCCTGCCGACCGATCACACCCGCTGTGTACTAATACAATTTACACCTGATCCCACCTCTGATAGAGGTCCGTGTTTGCTATGCACCTATTTTGTATTGTTTTATTGACTGTTGATCTAGAATACTGTTCGTTATCTCCGTATCTTTTATTGGTGTATTTTCAGGGGCCACTAGCATGAAAAGTGAGTCATTGACCTAGTTATTTGAAATTAAAAATCTAATACACAGAAGAATCGTAGATGTATAATGTGCAGTACTTTGTTTTTCGTTCTTATCATTGGTATTTTTTGTCATCTGAGTAAAGTTATACCTTAAGTGAATTGCTGACTGACGTTTACCTTACTTATTGTTTGTCCATTATTTACACGTTGAATTGTCGACGGATCTCCATTATACCCCGATTATGACGAGGAGCACGCAGCGAGTGTGACTGGTGGACAATGGATGTTCACTCTTGTATGGAACTCGATGCCACCTCTGATGTTTGAGAAGTCCTTGTTTGTTTTGCTTCAAGACTTGTATTATTTAATAAACTTTTTAGCTTGAAAACTGATCGTTATCTATATATATTATATATATTTCATTTATGAGTGAACTGAGTTTTTACATGCTTGGCGTGCAGTAATAGTAAAGGTGAATAATTATTACACAATAAATCATTCCAAGCGTTACATTAGGAGTATGTGATTCTTTTTATTTTCTGATTCAGGGAAGAAACAAAGAAGGATCAGTCAACCTATTGAAATAAACAAGTCCTCTATAAATTCTAAAGTAAGGCAGCAAATGACCCCTTTTCCAGAATAACAGGATTATCATGTCAGACAGTGGAAACTTTCAAAAAACTGACACTCACTTCAATAAAAGGAGTGTTATTCCTTTCTGTCTACTCTTCCAAGCCCCTGTTATGTAATGTTTACTCTGTTTCGCTAAGTGTAAGCGCTAAACGTTTCATATTACCTTCCTTGTCTCACGATCTGAAGACGTCTATATAATATGTTAACTGTATGGGAAATAATTTTCAAATGTAGTACTAAATTTCCTAATAAAACAGTGTTCTTTCATCATTCTTCTCTCATTTAATCTTAAATGAAAATTCATTTCATAAATTGAAAACTATTAAAATCTCCGAGAATTAATACGAATTTACTTGATTAGGAAACGATGTTATGAACAATTTTGAACTTTAAAACAGCAAAACAAGCTTTATTTATTTGGAATAAATAGAAAAGTCTTAAAGTCAGAAGCAAACAATTCAAAAATACGTTTTTGAACTTGGTACATGTATGTCGATCATTTTTGCATTCTACTTTTCCAATCATCAAAAGATAGTGTTTTTAAAAATATTTTTACAGAATATATAACAAGAACATACTTCTTATACAAGTTGCTTGCTTAGATTATTTCCTAATAAAGAGCAACTAATATCGACAATTTTAAAATGCAGTGCTTTTCTTTGTATTAGTCACCCAGTACAACTTGTTATAGTGATCAGTATATATTCAAATCTTTTACACAATGACCTATATTAAGACCTCTATATATAAAGCTTTGGTTATACTTACACGTCCATGAGCTTGTTTAATGGTGCTATATGACTATGTTTTAAGTGTTTTTTAAAGTGCAAGCATGAGTGTTTATTTTCCTTTTTATTACTCTAATGTTAGGATGGAGATGTTAGTGTGTATTCTGTTTTATCTACTATCCGGTAAGTTAATGTTCAAATCAATCTTCTTCATTTTATTTTTATGTTAATTATTAATTTCTATTGTTAACTTTGCCATTTTGGATTTTGTTTAAAATTTATACTGAATACTCTTTATCTTCAAACTTAATCTCTTTTCGAGAATTATAAAGTTACTATATCATTCTCTCTTAAAAGAGAATGACGTTTTTAACAAAAGAGTTCATAGTCACTGCTTAATGATAGCCTTGAGGAGGTTTAATACGACCCAACCTGTCGCTGGGTCGTATTTTGACTCGAAATGACATGCATATCATTGTACCATTTTTTGTTTATGTTGGTGAAACCAAGGGATCACTTATAACATAAGAATATCAGGTAATCAATTTCAAATAAATCAAGGGGGTCAGCATCTTTTATACAAACATTTTAATTTACTTGATCATTCTTTTTTGTCAATGCAAGTTATAGAATTCTCGAAAAGATTTATCAAAACACAAACAGTCCGTCACTGAGTACACCTTTCCGTAGAAAACTAGAAGAATTTTCGATAAGCAAACTAGGGACAGTCTTTCCCTATGGATGTAATGACAATGTCGATAGTGTTGGAAATCTTTCCTGTCCACAGTGTAACAATGTAAATATGATGGGACTTTTTAACCATACACAGAGAGGTAAACGTACATGTAGTCATGGGCATCGGTCTTACAATAAACCTTTAATACACGATGTCTCTTTTCATTCATTACTACCTTATGTAAATCAACAGCTTGGTCTACATCATATTTGCACCAAATTCTAGTCTGTCCCTTTGAAACCTTTAAATACTAGTCTTCTTGAAAAGGCCAAGGCAAGTCCAATGTTTGATTCTTCAATACCAGAATATAGGCTCGGATCTGTGATTAATGATATTGCAAATCATAGGCTTTTTAAACCCGCACGTTTGACTGAAGAAAATGCAGCCACAACAATCCGTCTTTTCTTAAACTTCAATATGCCAAGAAAGGAATTGACGCGGTTAATATAAGTAATATTCGTAATCACAAAGGGTCCAGTCTTGTATATATAACCATATTTCAAGTTAAAAACTACACCTTGTATTTCCTACAAAGATACATCGACCATTGCTTCCAAACTTTTCAATTACAAAAAAACTTTTCATGGCCTGGATATCGAGTACACTGTATCTGAAACATAATCCCCCATCGTGTTCATGTTCTTCTTCGCCCTATAACTATACTCCTGCAGGACATGTTATTACAGGTGATATACAGTTAATAATGAGGACCTTGGTTCACTTATTTTAAAAGGTCCTAATTATAGGAAACCCCCAGTCCTTCAAATGACGTCGGAATTTTATACATTTTATGGATTATGTTGAAGATTACGGCAGACGATGGGCCAGATATGAAACAGAAGACGTTGACACTTTGTCAGAATGGATTAAATGTATCAGATCCTTGTTAAAATCGCGTATTAAAAGATTGAGGGGCAATACATGTTCAACCAAGCCTCTTTCTTTACTCCTCAATAAGATATTGACAGTAGTGAAGGAAAAACTTCAAGAATACTGTGCAAAAATATATTCAAGAGATGATGCAAATCAGATATGGATTCTTAAAAATTACAAAGAACTTTTGGAGAATTTGAAATCACAAAATTTCACCAAAATCAACAGCTTAAAATTTTTCAACTTAATACAGAACCATTCCCCGCGATAAATCAAAGTCCATGCTTTTTTGATATCATCGACAGCTGCTATTTCAATAAAAAAGGAACTCGTAAATTTACTTACCTGGTCACTATCATTTGCAAACTTATTTGCTAAAACACATTCTGATTGCACACACAGGTACTTCGAAGTTGACATCTAAAAGATGCTTGAGTTTCTGATTGACAATATTTATGTGGTTTTTGGAGACCAGGTCTTCCAACAATCTATATGAATCTCCATGGGTACCAATTGCTCTGCGTTATTAGCAGACCTGTTTTTGTATTCATATCAAGCAGAATTTGTGCAAAATCTTCTGCGTGAAAAGAAAAAAAAAACACTTGCCGTCACCTTCAACTTGACATTTAGATATATCGACGACGTACAGTCAATTAACAATGGTAATTTCCATTCTTATGTTGATACGATATACCCTGGTGAGCTTGAAATAAAAGATACGACAGAGTCTGACACATCTGTTTCATCTTTAGATATTTTACTTGAAAAAGACGTTAATTGTAATCTAATAACCAAGCTCTATGATAAATGTGACGACTTTAACTTTTTTTATCGTCAACTTCCCTTACTTATGCAGCAATATACCTTCATCAACTTATTATGGAGTTTATATATTTCAGTTTATTCGATACACAAGAGCATGCTCTACGCATGAAAGTTTTCTTAAACGAGGTAAATATCAGCAGTCTCGTTTAAAGTCATCATTTCGTAAGTTCTATGGTCGATACAATGACCTTGTCAGCAAATACAATTTATCATTGAGTCAAATGCTGATTGATGTTTTTAATGCTGATTGTTAGTCCATTATTTATACACTGAATTGATGACAGATTTTTCTGATATTTCCCGATCATGACAAGGGGCACACAGCGGTGTGATCGGTCGGCAGGGGATGCTCACTCCTCCATGGCACCTGATCTCACCTCTGATGTTTTGGAGGTCCGTGTTTGCTCTGCTCCTATTTTGTATTGTTTTATGGACTTTGATATTGAATACTGTTCATTATCCATATCCTTCATTGCAAAAAGATTGACTACTAATTATTCCGTCTACCTAATAAAATCATACTTATCAATGACAGTTCGAAAGGGGATGCTAGGCAATTGTTCTAATTTTGATAAATGTATGGGCCAAACAGAATGAGAATGCACCGTGTAGAAATATCATTGTGATGTTATTAAGAATTACGAAGTTACATTAAAATTGTGATATTTGTAAATATAGAATTTTTTGTTGTATATGATACCACTGTTTACTACCGTATATCCGTTTTTTCTTCGCGTGTTGGAAATTTTGAGAAAAAGGGGTGGATTACTACAGTTTATTTTTATGATTGAAGAATTTTTTTTGTTTAAAATGTTAATGTTTTTATGTCAAATTATAACTGACATGTTTTCTGCGTGTTTTATATTTTGCGAATTAAAAATGATCGCAAAAAAAATGTGAAAAATAGGTCATCGCAAAAAAAAAAAAAAAAACCGGATATACGGTATTAAGCAAACTCTCACCATCTAAATTCTGTAGAGTATTAAGAATCAATTTTGGTAAAATATGACGTCACTCGCTTTGGATTGATATGTCATCCAAAGGATTGTAAGGTTTTAATATAAAACTTAATGACACAAGAACTTCACTTTGTTAACTTTAATTTATAATGAATGTTGTAAATGAAGGTTAACAGTAGTTATTTTAATGAATGATTCTTTTGCTTTCTGTGACACCGCAGTGTTAAAATGAAAAAAGTCTTTCGTTGTTATTGAATAATATCAATATATTAAAGTTTTTGTACAAAATTACTTGTAAATATATGAATTTACTTTTATCTTTTACAGTGTCAACCATACACTGTCATGCTTGCAAAGGCCAACAACAAATAATTCTTCAGTCTTATGTTGGGGAAAAGGTGGCGTATCCAGAAAAATTTCCGCTGGAAAAAGGATACGAAGCGTGAGAAATAATGTTAATCGAATAAATTAGATTATGATTTTTTTCTGACATTTAATATAGTGTTTGATTATTTCGTTGCAACTTAAATTTTTTTAGCCGAGTAGTATTAACGGTAGTTATTCAATTTTAAGTAACTTGAACTGCACATGGAAAGTCAGCGCGGTGGCAGGATATGAAATTGTCGTTTATCCAAAGTGGATGTGCGAATCTGATGCATCTTTCCGCCTATATTATGGTAATTAAGTTTTTCAGCATGTTTTGATAGATACACTATTTGTTCACTAGCAAATAACCTCAAATTTGACTGAAAAAAAATTGTTGTCTTTTTAGCTTTTCCCATGCACGTCCTTAAAAGTCTTGAGTCATTTGTATAAGTTTTTATTCATTTTAAAACATCCCAGATAGAGGAAAAACATAAGTTCATAACCAAAATAGTATTCTCAACAAGACTTCAGCTCATTTAAATTGAACGTAGAACAAAAATAAAGGAAACAAATGTACCTAAATATTCAGAACTGAATCAGACAATAATTTATCACGCACGATCTATTTCTGTAACGTTTTTTAGAAATTCAGTAATGGTATGAGAGTGTTTACTGTAAAATAACATATTTTTGTGAAGTCAAATTTTCATGGTTTGAGGAAAATATATGGGATTTTGGGGGATGTAATTTGACTGAATGACTGAATGACTGAAGAATTTCTAGTAGTAATTTCTGTGAAATTTACATGTCATGGTGGACATAAGTTTATGGGCCTCTTCATATCCCGAAAAACACGCAAATTAAACCCCTCACGAAAATAAGGGATTTCACAGTATTTTTAAAAACCATGGAAATGTCGTTTTCAGAAATCACAAACTGTTTTAGAATGTTGCCCCCGTGGCGCAGTGGTTAGAATCGCGAAGAAAGGAATTGATCATTACGTCGCGGGTTCGAATCGAGACCGTATAAACCGAGGTCCCGTGTCGCAGTAGATGCTGGCACGAAAAAGATCCCTCCCAGCTTAAGGGCCCTGAGTGCCATGTTTAGGACAAAATTTGCAGCTCTCCAACGGCAAGTGATGGCGTCTCCATATGAGTGAAAAGTTTTCGAGAGGGACGATAAACAATATACAATCAATCAATCCATAGGAATTTTTCTTGTGTAATCTATTTAAACTCAATGTTTTCATGAAAATTGACCAAATAATAAATATCATTTTGATGAATTATTTTTTAAATATGTCTTTAAAAGCTTAAAATTTGAGATTTTGCAATAAAATTCTATATGACAAGATCTAATGGCCTTTAAAGTTCATAATCATTTTGAGTTAAAAAAAAATCTAGGATTTATATGTACATCACAGGTGAATTTTTCAGTTAATAAAGTTAGTTATTTTTAAAATGAATATTTTGGCATTACCTTTTATTTAAAAATACTACTATTGATCGTAAGATCAATTGGTATTAAAATGTCAAAGTTGATTATTTCTCGTTTCTTTTTTCATTCTTCTTCTTCTAGTTCTTGTTCTTCCTCCCTCTTCCCCTTTTCTTCAGCTGTATATAAATTCTCTGAATTAGGTTTTTTTATTGAAGGTTCAGCAACATCATCAGTGCTAGATAATTGTGTAGGCTGTCCTAAGTTAGATGGCCATTGTAAGGAAATTATACAAACTGCATCCTCAGAAATTCTCCTGACCATTACAACATCATCTTCATATAGGGAAGGAGGTTTCCAGTTTCGTTTCATGTCGGTTGAAAGCAAAAAAAGTAAACTGGATTATTATTGTCTTTAACTAAATGTGCTTAATATTTGCACCTTCATAATCTATCTCAATTTCAGAAATAAATATGAGATTATTCTGCTTATCAAGTCAATTTTAGTATTTTCAAATTAAAAAGAATTATTTTTATGAAAACTTTAAGAAAAATGATAAAAATTAGCATACATTATTTGTAGGAACAAACATCTTACATGTCTGTTTTGATTATATATTTTTTTATTTAGTTGATACCTGTGACTCTACTGATAAAACACTCCGGGCGGAATCAACACCTAAATATATCATATCTCCTGGATTCCCGTCTAATTACCCAAGGTATATAACACCGTGAAGAAAATAGAGTAAACTAAATTGTTAGAAGTAAGATTATTAATTTTCTATTCTTCGATTATTGTTTTCCTTTTAGTAATTTACAATGCTTTTGGAAAGTGGAACCTGCTATAATGAAGAAGGACATTCGTTTGGTTTTTGAGTTCCGGTCTCTGAATTTAGAAGAAGGCTTTGATAGCTGCACTGATTACATTATGATAGATGTTGATGGTCAGTATGCTACATGCATCTTGACATTTGTTCTAGCAATTGTTTAAAGTTTTATCTTGACCTTGGAGTTTTACCCATTTTTGTAAAATATTTTACAAAATTTTATCCTGAACATAACGTTTGAATAGTTTTTTTCTATGGCTTTTATATGTAGCTCACATATTTATTTACTATGACAAAATCTTTCGAAGGAATAAATGTTTTACCTATTTATATCGATATTAGAGTTTAGTCCCCTCTTTTCAGATCTTTAACTTTGCACATTACTTTTGAATAATTGTGCTTAGGTTACCATATTTCACAGGTATATTCACTGAGATAATTTTTTTTACCTTTAGGTGTTAATATTTTTAGCTATTGACCTTTTAATTTGAGATTGGCTTGCATTTGACAATATTTAACTTTCCTCATGAGCTGCCATACAGAGGCACCAGTGTTGCAAAACACGTCCTGTTTCAAACAATATTCTTTTTTATCATAATTAGATTTTTAATTAAATAAATAGAAAACATCTGTAAAAAAGTTTTCTAACCGACTGGGCAGAGCTGATGTAGGCATTTTTTGGATCCTGATATTTTTTTCTAACTTGAATTTATTCTTTTAAAGAAATTCTTTCTAATACAATGAACATGTACTAATTCCGATATATGTCACATTTAGAAATTTGTACACAATCGGAAGAAACTATTTTAAGCACGGCCGACCGTGTGATCTTGAATTACACCACGGCAGAGGTGCGGTTTGTAAGTGATATAGGATTTGAAAGCAGCGGATTTGTTCTAGCTTTTTACATTGAAGGTAATGTTTTTGTTTCATTAACTTGTTAATATCATCTAGTTTAGTAAACAATTTTTCTTAAGTTGATCATAGTAGTCAAATAAAAACAAATTTATCTGATATTTACTGAATATTAATAAATGTCATTCTTTTGTCTTGGTTTATTATAGTTAACAGAATCGTATTTGGTTGTATTTAGACAAAGTTAAATCCTGCTACTGTCAGCATGGAGGTACCTGCTTGAATTCTACATGTCTTTGTCCACGTGGTTATAAAGGCAGTTTTTGCGAGTCAGGTCAGTATTATTTATTATCTGTTGAAAGCGATGATTTAAACTGATTGATGATAATTAATCATAAATAATATAAAAGATTTTCCATTTGAATTACAAATCTAAACACTGCAGTTTGGAAGGGTTCACCAAAGTGTTTATCTATTAAAGAAATTTAATGAGAAATATCAACTGCAATGACTACCATATGCTTTATTTTTGTTATAAACGTATGCGATTACGTCTTTAACATTATGTGTCTTATCAAAAAATTATTTATCTTGAAAACTATGTTTAAGCTATAAGAACGGTTGTCCCATAAAATCAAAAACAATGCTACTTTATAAGAATATATTGTGCACAGTAATCTTGAATTTTCAATAATATTTGAATAATTCTAATTTTTTCTTGAAAAGATATGAAAAATTAAGTTGCTATTGTTAGAGAAAAGTTCATTGAGGATCATCTTCTTTGACACACCTTAGGCAATCTTGGGGTTCTTGAAGTTGTTTTAATCAACTTGTGAACTTTTATATTCTAGCTCTTTATTTATTAGCTTTGATTTTTTCTTGTATAGAATCGTTGAAAATTCTTTCCTGGAAAAGCAACAATATATTATTGCGTGAAGGTAAACCTTTGTGGCTGGAATTAGAGACAGTAGATGACCAAAGTCCAAGTGTCAAATGGTTTCGCAACGGAATAGAAATAACCAGTGCTTCTTTAAGATATACAAGAAATTCCTTTAAAGCTCCACACGGTTCATTTCTCCATGTACTAAACATATTCAATGCTTTAAGACGAGATGAAGGTAAATTATCAGTAAAGGTTTTAAAATGTGAAAAGAGCTTTTGTATCAAAACAATTAATGTTACTAATAAGAATGTTTTCATTTTTTCGAGTCGTATCGTTTTAATAGGGATTTACGTGAACAACAATTGTTTGTTATCTTCAATGTTTATTGATATTTAGGAAATTGGACTGTTGAAGTATCAAATGGTGTTACTACCACATATAGAAATATCGTTATAAGAGGTGAGGAAAGGAAATCATAAATGTTTGTTATTAAAAGTAGTAGCTGTAGGTACACTACTAAACACTTTACTTATATGCCTTCTAAATCCATGTGCACATATAAGTTGCATTTTCTTGCCTCCTTATATCCAAATGGTAGGGTAATCAAAATAAAACATAATGCATTTTGATTTATTTACATGTATATACATGTATCTACAGCTGTATATCCATCTCCATGTATTTCATACATACAGTTATTTTCTTTCTTGATCATTATATGATAAAATTCTTTGGTACATTTTTCAAAATTTGTTTTGTTTATGTATTTATTTTGTTTTTATCTGATATTTTCTCAATATTTGATTTCGTGGTCAGTTTTAGGCCCTTCATTTTTGCTCATTTAAATGTATTGCTTTTTGTTGACTTTTGAGATTGTTGGCTAAATACATTTAAATGATTAAAACTATTTAATGGTTCTCAGAAAAATTGTGCTGAGATTGCGATGTGAAGATAAATTAACATATTTTCATGTAATCCTTTTGTGGCTTTAATATTTTCAAAATCTCGGGAATTATGTGAATTTTTCTCCATTGGATTCAAAATTCAAACCTTTAATTGATATTTGTATTTTATATTCAGTTCTTCCAAGACTTTTGCTACAGATGACACCACAATTCGACTTTTCGATTCAAAGCGGAGAAAGTTTAAATCTTCAATGTACAGTAATCAATCCAGAATCTCTGTCTAATTCCACGAGCGGAAGTTTAATCTGGCAGAGAAATGGGAAGAATATCATAACAGGTTTGCAACAAAAGAAAGTAAAGCTACATGAAATCTATAACAGTATAATCCAATGATGTACCTTCATTTGAGACAAAAATAGTTTTCATGAAATAAGCATAGTGATTTAACCTTTGTAGATTCGCAGTTTGATATAACAACAACTGACATTTCCACGACATTAAAGAAGAACTCGACAGGAATCGATGATTCTGGAAGTTATTTATGCTCACATTCTTCTTATCCTGATCCAACAAATGTCTCTATCACCGTAATGGTAACAAAACCAGGTCAGACAATAATTTGTTATAAGTAATAAAAATAAATAATAGATTATCATCGAAAATGTTTATCAAACATAACTTTAAAAAAAAATGTTCTTCATTAATTTCATTCTGAAATCCAAAGAACAAATTAGATGTCCAAACGCAGTATTTGATGGAATAACATGGAATGCGACAATCGCAGGAACAACTAAAAGAGAATCCTGTCCAGAAAATCAGATAGGTATCGATTCATTCTCCGATAGAAAAAAGTGTGTTTTCTAATACATGGATCAATAGAATTACATATACAGTTACATATATTGTTTAAAGGGGAAAGGAAGGAGGAAAACGTGTATAAAAAGTATAAAAATTATAGTGTTGATAAATTGTGTATTTATTTATTTTTTTTTTTTGGCTGAAAATAGTTTTTCAAGAGAACAGTGACATTAAAGAAAGGAGATGAAAAAGCAGACTATTTATGTTGCTACTTATATATTGTAAATTCTTGAAATTATTCGGTTTTAATTACTTTCAAAAGAAGCTACTTGTTATGGTAATGGACACCAGTCCAACAGGTTTAATTTTTTCCTGATTACTAATGTTTAAGAGATTCACTTCTTGGATTCGATGTCAATCCTGGCCTTTGAAATACGTAATTACGCTGATTAATTTTTTAAATGAGTTACAAGATATAAATAAATATAACGTAGGGTTGACCTCTAGGATACAAGTGTGCTGTAAATACAATCCTTGTCTTGCAATCTCTGTTTACTTTACATGGCAGATGAGCTGGTCAAGTCATACTTATTTGTAAAATAAATTTATAATCCTTTTTATGTATAGTACAATTTTACAAAACATGAATATGGTTCACTGTGTCTCTTTAAGCAAAATAATTTGATAAAACAGATCTATGTAAAATATAGAGAATGTTTAAAAAAAATACATGCATATTCAAACAATAAAAAAAATATGATTTCAATGCTCCAGGTACTGCAACTAGGTTTTGTAACACTCAAGGTGAATGGGAAACCCCTAATCTGGTCAACTGTACTGACGAAGCTTTTGTGAACGCTTCAAATGAGGTAGGTCATGATAATTAGAGTGAGTAAATGCTACTTAATCCCCGCAGTCATGCTTTTTAACGCATATACCACTTCCTATTTCTAACGCAAAATCACGCATATACCGTTTCCCCGCAATTACACATTTTCACGCACTTTAAAAGTTCATTTAATCTTCAATTTATTACCAAATTTCTTTTATATTACACTTGCTTAAATCTCATAAAATAAGAAAAATCATTTTGTTATTAAAATATTACGTCATAATATTAATTACGCTAAACTTTAGAGAAACTTGTTCTCCGCTGTAAAGTGCTTGCGGGGAAATGGTAACGTATTATTTCTATGACGTGAACATTTAGTGTATGCTGCATAACAATTCAGTTAGTTGTAAAGAGTTAACATTAATACTTGTGAATAAGTTTTTAATATTTCGAAAGTGCTAACGTAGTAATGCACATTAAACGAAAACCATTTGATAATTAAGAGCATAGTTCAACAATTTTATTTGATGATACATGTACTTTGCAAAAATATATATCTTAGGTAATGATACTCATTTACACTTCCCTTCACTAGAACATAGAAATTGGATTGACATTTTCTTTTCGGGATTAAATGGTTATAAACTCGGTTCGATGAACACAATTGATAATGAAAGTGAAAATTTGCTTTCTTGATTTAACATGCATTTAACAATTTTAAAAGGATAAGTCGTCTTTTGAAATAAAATAAAAAATAATATTGAATTGTTGTAAAATAATACAAAAAGTAGTACCCTTTTGTTTTGTTGATCATTAGAAAGATTGAATTTATAATCTGATCAAAACGCATCCCTGATTGATATGCTTTTCTGCAAAATGGATACACAGTACCTATGGATGATTTTACGAATCACTATATAGGATAGTATAATAAGACCATATTGAACTCCTTTAGAATAATAGCTCCATATAATTAAAGATGCACTAAAATGTATAAATTTTTTTTTTTGCTAATTGATAGTTGACAGCTAAAAATATCATGTCTAGATATATCTGTTGACCCCCAGCCTCCTTAACAATGAAAATTTCATGCATTTAAAAAGATTAATGATCGTTGTTTAATACAATATAATCCATTAAGAATAAAAGATATAAAATAAGCTTGTAAAGAAAGGCAGATAATTATTACATGAAGTTTCCTCTTCATCAGCTGGATGCTTTGATAGAGGACGGAATTGATGACTCAGAGCAAGTTAAGAAAACTATTGATAATACTTTAGTGAAGATGAAAAATTTGACATCTCAAAGTACTTCACTGAGTGCCGGAGATATCAGTTCCTCTCTAGACATCATAGAGAAGATTGTCAACGTTACCAATCTGACGGGTGCGAATATTGAAAAAGAGGTAAATTTAATATATATAGATATAAAATTATAATGGAGGAATACCACCCCAAAATTTTATTCCACAGATCTTTAAGACATTCCTGTCAAGTTATGGTTTCAGCATTGAAAGGCCGATATTAGCTCTTCTGAAGTCTTTTATTGCATTTAATCGTAGAAAGTAAAAATAAAAAATTTTATTTGCAAATAAGATGCTTTAGAGTTTTTTTTAAAAATGCTGGCAATGAATGCACCATATGAATATCTAATAAAATTTGTAAAGAATTGCCATTTCTCTGAAAATGCAGAAAAAATCAGTAGGAAATAATTAAAAATAAGTAAAAACTAATATTGGTTTTTCAATGCTGGACATATCTTAAAGATCTATTAAACAAAATCCATGTGTTATTTCTTCTACAACGTAATTTATTTTTTCCTGTATGATACAATTTAGAGACAATGCTGAAAGACCTTAAATGTATTAAAAAAACAACTGTAAAGTACTCAATATCTAAAATAAGAAACAAAATATAAAATATGGACAATGTATCTTATGGGGACTTTTAATATTTTAGGTGTTCTTTGAGGTCGTCGACAATGTTTTGTCTTCCAACAATTCTAAATCATGGACAACCGTACAAGACAAGGTACTAATTAAGCATAAAAGTCAAGGATGTCTTAATAATAACAAATTTGCGTTTAGATCTCGTGAACTAAATTTAATTTTCTTTAATTGAAAGAATTGTATGCGGTATATAAATATTTTAGACCCCAAACAAGTCAAATTTCCTGAAATGTGCCGAATTGTATATAATAAATGACAATCATTAATTAACAAAAATATCATAGTTTGGAAATAGGTAATTGACAAGTAATGTTTCTATGACGTCAAAAGAGTATTTGGATTATTTTTTTGAAAAAAGAAAATGGACAATGTTTTTCTTCACTCTTGACTTCAAAACTCATTGAGCGCAGACCTGCCCTAAAGTAATATTCACACAATTCTTAGATATTTTCATTCTACAGCAAAACTCGTTCAGTACGAACACAACACGGATATTGCGAATTTACGGATATAGTGAGGTCATCTTACATCCCCAGCTATATAAATTTAAATATTTCCATTTCTAATGTTTTTCTCTGTGATAACTCTTTGAAAGTTAGGGGTAGTTTATTTCTTGATAATTCTGCCGGAATGTAAATTAGGCAGGTCGATAGGTCGGGAGCTAAGGAGGCCTAATACGCATGCAATTCTCGTGCGCATCTGTGTCTGACGATAAGGAGGCCGAATATGCATGTAAATCTCGTGCGGCTGCCTTTGTGTTTGACGTCGGTTGGGGAGGACTATTGAAATTGGCATGGAAGTCATCATGTGATTTAAATCTATTTATCTACATTTTGAAAGTCTAAATCTACAATTTTATTTTACAATGAAATGGAAATATAAGGAATCACTGTCTAGTTAGGAGGGTATGTCAGGGACATCAACAATAGTGGGAAACATGGGATAATTTAAGCATAACGGGCTTCGCCCTGACATACCCTCCTAACTAGACAGTGATTCCTTAAATACTTTCTTATACGGTTATAACGAAGTACGGATATAGCAAAGTAATTTCACAGGTCCCAGTGACTTCGCTATAAATGAGTTTTACTGTATACATTATATCAATACATTGTGATGATGTAGACTTGTGCTCGTAGACTTTTACTGTAAAATATCGGCAGAAATATATACTCCTTTTTCTGTAAAATCGTGGAAATTTTGAATAAACATCATATTTCTGACGTCATATTTACCATACGGCGTCACAGCTAATGAAAATATTCGATGCTTTGAAGTCTGCAGATATCCCCCTGATTTAGAACATAATTCTATATTTTTTCCGTTAAAATTTGCTTTTGGAGGCATGTATCGGTCATTACCGATTTCATTCTTTTGATAATACTGTCTACTATGACAGATACGTTCTATTTATTCTGGTGTCAAAATAATGACTTCCTTACTAGACGGAGAAGGATGCTAGTTCTTTACTGAAAAATATGGACAGACTTAGTGAAGTCATCATGAAAAATGACAACATTACCGCAACAACATTTACTGGCACAAATTTTGGTAAGGTTTGCTAATACATAATTCTAACATAAACATTTTCAATAGAATAAAAAGTCAATTTCTGTGGAAAATGCGCGCGAATTTTAACGATTGCAATGTTCATTTTGAAGAGGTGACCGTTGATAAAACAAATCTAGAGGAGAATGGGATAACATTTCCGAAGAGATCGTCAAACAACAGCAACGAAGTTGACGATGGCATTGCTACTTTTCTTCAATTACCAAAGCAAGCAAATAAAACAGGGGAAGGTAACCACAACATTTATCAGCTTTTTAATGACAATTGTGAGTCAATTTAGTCATTCACAGGTTATCAAACAATGCACTGGTTCATTAATAAATTTGATTTGCTTTCTTCCAGCTATTGCTTATGTTGCTGTGATATATAGGACGATTTCCGAGATTCTGCAAACAAATACAGATGCAGATAGGTAAATCTAAATTCCATTTATTATGCCCGCACTTTCTAAAGAAAGTTCGGGTATATTGTTGTTACTCATGTCTGTCCGTCCGTCCGTCCGTCCGTCCGTCTGTATCACTTTTCTTCCCTGAACTCCTCCTACATTTAACACAGTAGCCTATTCATCTTTTGGGAGATGGTTAGTGGTGTCATGTAGATGTGCAGTAAGGTTTCGGAATTCTGATTTTGTTCCAGGGGGTCAAATGGGGGTCGAAAAATGACGTTTTTGTGCAAAGTCTTCCCTGAACTCCTCCTACATTTTACTCAGTAGCCTAATGATCTTTAAGGAGATGGTTGATGGTGTCATGTAGATGTGCAGTAAGGTTTCAGAATCTTGATTTTGCCGCAGGGGGTCAAATGGGGGTGGAAAAATGATGTTTTTTTAATTCAAAAAACCCTGTCCTCCCTGAACTCCTCCTATATTTTACTCAGTAGCCTAATAATCTTTTATGAGATGGTTGGTGGTGTCATGTAGATGTACAGTAAGGTTTCGGAATTTTGATTTTGCCCCAGAGGGTCAAAAGGGGGTCGAAAAATGAGGGGTTTTTTTTTATTCAAAAAGCCCCTGTTTTCCCTGAACTCCTCCTATATTTTACTCAGTAGCCCAATAATCTTTTAGAGATGGTGGGTGGTGTCATGTGGATGTGCAGTAAGGTTTAGGAATTTTGATTTTGCCCCAGGGGGTCAAATGGGGGTCGAAAAATTTAAAAAGCCCCTGTCTTCCCTGAACTCCTCCTACATTTTACTCAGTAGCCTAATCCTCTTTTGGGATATGGTTTATGGTGTCGTGTAGATGTGCAGTAAGGTTTCGGAATTTTGATTTTGCCCCGGAGGATCAAATGGGGGTCGAAAAATGACGTTTTTATGCAAAAATCCCCATCTTCCCTGAACTCCTCCTATATTTTACTCAGTAGCCTAATCATCTTTTGGGAGATGGTTGGTGGTGTCATGTAGATGTGCAGTAAGGTTTCGGAATTTTGATTTTGTTCTAGGGGGTCAAATGGGGGTCGAAAAATAATGTTTTTTATGAAAAAAGCCCCGTCTTCCCTGAACTATATTTTACTCAGTAGCCTAATCGTCTTTTAGGAGAGTTAAATATTTTGAAAATTAGGTAAAACATTAACGTCAAGGGGTAAAAAAATCATAGCATGTGGGAAACATCTTGAATTCTTACGAGTAATGTACATGTCAAATGTGAAAGTTATGTCTCTTCTCAATCAGAAGTTAGAAGCAAATGAAACATTTTTGAAAAGTGGGTTAAGCTTCAAGGTCAAGGTCACAGAGTCAAAAGTCATGATTTATTTGGAATGGTCTTATCACAGGTAATAATATACATGCATGTATAATATGAATGCCCTAACTTTTTTCTTTCAAAATGATGAATTTAAAACAATGTAATTTTTTGCAAGTAGGTCAAACTTCAAGGTCACGGGTAAAAAAAATCATGTCATATGTCATTGTCACAGGTAAATACTTATACATATGTTTAATATGAATGTCTTGTCTCTTCTCATTCAATACATAATGACAGTGATGACCAAGGTTAAATTTATTGTGACAGATGGACAGACTGACAAACAAATGTACATATTTCTATGTGAATTGGTTAAAATTGGCCCAGTGGATCTAGAGAAAAAATTAAAAATGTAAACAGTTTCCAGACAAACAGATGGACAACAGACATAATGTAATTAGGAAACCAGAAAAGCTCAAATGAGCTAAAAAGTATGATTCACAAGTATTTTGAAAGAGTTACTATGGTAACAGTATTTGAAAACCTTTTTTTTTCATGCAATTTTTTGAGAAGCTGAAAATGTATATAATGACATGTATCCATTGTTGATAAAATTTAACATTTCAGAAAACAGTATGATTGACAATAGTTAATCAAGGTGTTTTGCGTAGTAAAAAAAAAGCTTGAAAACTTTTTTAGCTAATTCAACCACAGAACCTACTCAAATTTAAGATGCACAACCTTTTCAACTTTTATAATAATTATTTTTTAAATATTGATATCATTTCTGATTCAAGGGAGAACATTTTAGAGACATGTCCAACATGTTCATGTTTTATTAGTAATTTGTTTGTTTGCTGTGAAAACATCTCTCTCGGGAATTTTTCCCTCATACACGAGGGCTGTTCAATAAATAATGTCCTGAACTCTATGACATACAATACAGATATCATATGACATTAAACTTGACTTTCTCTCATTGTTGAATCTTAAATGAATTTATAACAGTTCATGTGACCAGTTTTAAATCACATAGTTTCATCGTGAGAAGCTGGGAAACAAGGGCTATTCGAGACACTGCATTATAAATGAATGGTAAAGAATCAGTAAACTAGAGTGAAAATAAAGGCTAAATCAAAGCTGCTGTAAAACTTGCTAAAAATCCCAAAGAAATATTCACTGAAATATGTGTCAATTACAGCAACCGATGCCTGATTTATAGACAAATGAGCATGTGGATTTCAATGATAAAAATTTATATAATGGGCATCAAAAATGGGTACCCTCCTTGCCAACAAAAATTATAACAACATATGTACTGTTTGCCAAATTTCAACAAATAATATTTGATGATGTATGATTGACTTTAAGACACATAGCAAATTTGATAGACATCATATCGGGAGTAATTTACACTGTTTTTAAGAAACGTTTGACAGTAAACAAGCTTGGTACTCAAAAGTCACCCTATATTTTGAAAAATGAGTGAAAACGACAGCGTGTAACAAAGTCTTAACAATTATTTTAAAATATCAGTAATTGTAGTTATCCACGTTTATTTTATATTCAAACAGATATTGGAACATGAATCTATTGCTTAAAATCATCAAACAAAATTTACCATAAGATGTACTTGATAAACACGGCGAAGGTCTGACAAAAGCAAAGGTATGCAAGAGCACAAAGACAGATTTATATGCAATTTTCTTAAATATTAGAGGTATTGTTGTTCGAGTTCGTATTCGGGGAGAAAGTTTAATTTCTGGAGGAGTCTAGATTGCAATTTTTTTTTTTTGCAAAAAAGAAAGGTTTATTAGAGGAAGGACCCAGAATCAGGAATCCACTACATTGAATTTCTTCATGACAGCGTACAAACCCACATGCCCTGAAGAGTAAAGGAGTTTTCGGGATAAACAGAAAGTTTATATTTTTTCACATTAACAATATTTACCAGATCTTTGACCTTTTGACTTGTTTCTATTTCCAAACCTGAAAAAAAACACCTTTCAGAAGGAAAAAAAACAAGTCCAGGAAATCACTGGATCAGCCATTTTCCAGAATACCAAGGGTCATACCCAAAAATGAGTTCTAAAAACAATCAGAAATTGGATGAAAAATGTTACGGACATGTGTTTGAATTAAAAGAGATTAATAGGTAAAATCATGAAGACTAAATCATTGAAAAGCGTCGTTTGCTTCTTTCTGAGCACCGAGGACATTATTTATTAAACAGCCCTCGTAGAGACACCACCACTTAAAAATAATGAAGACAAGATGTGATTCTGAAGCACTGATGCCCCCGTATGGCAGCTTATGGCGAGGGTGGAAGTTTCTCAAATGTATGTCAAACTCAAAGGTCAAAGGGTAAAAGTTTTGGTATCAAAAGAAAGTCTTGGCACAGGGAATACACATGTGAAATAAGAAATCCCTAGTACTTCCTGTTCAAAAGTTAACTGCTGAGGTTAAAGTTTTTTTTTAAAGTGGGTCATTATCTAGGGTCAAGGTCAAACATATTTATATCTGTTGAAAGTTCACAATGAATACACATGTTAAGCATGAAAGCCATAGCACCTACTGATCAAAATTTAGGCAAAGATTAAAGTTTGGTATTTTCTTGTAAAAATGGGTAAAAATCCAAGGTCAAGAGATCAAGAGGTCAAAATTGGTGGTACCCAAATAAAAGGTCTTGTCACAAGGAATTAACCTATTAAATGTGGAAGCCATGTGTGTAGCCCATCCCACTTAAAACTTATGGGCAAGGTTAAAGTTTCTGCGGACAAACAGACAGACAGACAATTTTCTTTTTCTGTCTTATTTACTTCTTTATTTAATGATTCTTTACTTTTCAAATTTTATTATTAATACTCGACTTTCAAGATTTTTCATTTCTAAAGATTGTTTTCTATATGCCTGTTTTAACAACCCCCTCCGAAAAAGGGGAAAAGGATGTGCCCTAGGGTATATCAAATTTGAAATAAATAAAGAGTGATGTACGTTTGACTTCTCTGAAAACGTGAAGCAGATCCTTGATCTACTCAGCTTTCTCAGATTTATACCTATTTCAATTACCTGGTTCAATTCATTTAAATAAGCAAGGCTTATATACAGACTTAGTATCAGAACTCAAATTTTAATTTGGCTTTATAAAATTAGGGTATAAAATGTTAATTAAAAAGCCAGTAGATCCCACCCTCCCACAAGTACACACTTTTTGGTTCAGTACTTTAAACTATCTAATGCAAATGTGTCTAAAAGATGGAAATTAGCCCGCCCCTTCCCGCTCATACACTACCCTCCCTGATGGAATTTTCGAGTTTAGAATATTCTCCTTTTGTCTGTTTGTCAAACATGTTTTTCAGGTAATTTGTCAACCCCCCCCCCCAATACACACATCTTCAAAATTGACATTCCTATTCAGTACATATTTTTAATATCAAATAACTGGAATCATTAATCTTTTAATATCTTTAACATTTCTTTTATTCAATATCAAGAAAATGCAAAAAAAACCAAAAAAAAAAAAAAAAAAAAAAACAACAACAACGAACAAACAAAGCAAGAGCATTTTTTCTTTGAGAGACATCTTTTATTTATTGTAATTAAACTTGGTTTCTTAAGTGTCCACTGTATTTAAAATAGCTATTTTTTAGTATCAGTTTTTATACAATCAAATATAAAATGAAAGTTTTGACAAAATTCATGCCTTCTACTCAATTCATCTTCCAACGAAAAATGACAAAGCAAATGGGAATTGCAGGGACGTGGCAAAAGGGGGGGGGGTGCAAGGGGGGCCTGCCCCCCCCCCCACTTTTTTTCCCAACATTGCCTTTACTATTGAAAATGTCCACTGAAAGGTTGGTTGGTTGGTCTTACCACCGTATAGTGAAATATAGTATTATATGCCACAAAAATTGGAAGTAAAAGAAAGTTTGCCTTGGAAAAAGTTGGCCATTAATCCCCCCCCCCCCCCCCCCCCCCCCCCCACGGAAGGATTTTCGAGTTTGGGCAATTTCTTTATTTCTTTCTTTTTTTTTATTTTGCTTGTCAACTTGTACAGGTAAGTAAAAAAAATTTCTCTGGTTGGCCCCACCATTTCTAAAACGATGCTACGTGCCTGAATTGAAAAGTATAATGAAAGTATATGACTCAAATTTGTGCATGCAGGGCGTAAAACATCCCTTATTTAATAGATATACCCTTCAATCTCAACGCGTACTTTATCTGAGGTATCGAAACTACCATGCCACAAAAAAAAAAGGAAAAGAAAAAAACTTACCATGACTTCACACTTTTCGTATTGGGACAAAATTTATCCATTTTTTAGACAATATATATTGACGCTGTTTTTCACTATCAAAAAAAAATCAAAATCTAAAAAAAATTAATAGGGTTTATTTATCACATTGATCGGAAGTTGTACCTTCAGTTTGAAAATTAGAAATAAATTGAATGTGAAGTTGAAAGATAGCAACTGTACAATTCCTTTTCTGAGATTGTAGTTGTTTGTGGTTCATATTTGATACTTTTCAATTTCACCCCTACTAATGTTATTGTGATTTAAATTTAAGACACGTGGTTAAGGTTTACCTATTCAAAGGTTATAGGGTAGAACCGGTTTTATAAATAACATTGGCAGTAAACAGGAAATTGCTATAGTCTGTTTCTTCTGAAAACATGTCCTGTGAAAAATATGTTTCCAGACCTTTCTGAAAGACTTTCATGATTTTCAACAGAAATGGGTGGCTAAAGGGGGGGGGTTAAAAAAATAAATGCATCTTTTCATAGTGTACTGCAAAAATTACAGCTCAATAGCGACCGATTAGCTGGTAAAAAAATGTGTAATATCATCAACACTGACAAACCTTTGTTTGCCTTATATGGCTATTGCTATTAATGCGCACAGAGGATCTTACCACGAGCAACTGACCATGCAATTGTTGATTGAATACGTTTACGCCAAATACATGTTTACATGTTACTTCGAATACGTGGTTCAGGTCAATCTATGATCATGTCAATGGAGTGCAAATTGACAAAAATGTTCTTATGAACAAAATGCAAACATTAGAAACTATGAAAGATATCACAGGCCTCATGGGCGTTTTTCATTTTTTGTTAACTAAAGAAAAATTTGTTTTATAAAATGTATACGTAGTTAGTGTCAAGTTCAGAACATCAGCACTTCAAGGGTAAGGAAAACGAGCAGCTTCTCATGTGCATTTAAATGGACATAACTATACTCGTGATCACGTGTGTTGGCAGGGAATCTACCTGACAATGGTATTCACCGATAGTATAATAAAGGAATTTATCAAGCGTAAAATTCCTGTAGTATTCGTAGTAACCCATAATGCAATTCTCATTCAGCTGATTTGTCAGTTAAGGTCATATTGGTGCCTCATTTGCTAATCTGACGCCAAAAAATATAGTCCCAGTTCCCATGCAAAATATTTGTCCAAAAAGAAATTTTATTTCATGACAGCAGAAAACTGAATCATAGAGAATACTTATAATTAAAACTTGAATGAATTCAAGAGAGATCTATTTAAGTACATTTCCACAGAATGATATGGTGGTGAAAACTAAAACGCAACATAACTTTTCTGTTTACCATGTCTCCACGTGCTAGTCACTTCCTGGCCACATTTCCGTGAATAATTTATCCTATCTCGCTGAAGTCTCGCTAACTCTCGACAGGGCCACTGTCAGAGCTACTCTGAACTCATCGGGTTTTATACTTTGCAGAACACAGAAAAAGAAAAGGTTCCGAACACATTAGTAGGGGTGAATTTAATAATGCATACTAAAATATAAGTTCAATGTTCACAAATAAATTCTTTGCAAATTTCTAATTAAACTAATCAAAATACGAATTTCAATATTCTTCAATTTAAATTTTTCATAGTTATCAGAGGCCTATACATTTTCAGATGATTTGTTATAAATTTGTATTTTTCATTTTTTAAACTGCTCCCTTAGAAAAGTCCGCCTTTAAATGTCTGAAGTCCGAAGTCCGCTGTTCGCTGTACGCTATTCCGCAAATGTCCATTACTGTCTCATGACAGCATCTAGTAATTTTTTTGGAAGCAAACTTCAATATCTTTGAATTAGCTGATCTGAAGTAAAAGCTTGTACAAGTTTTTTTTTTATTTCTTCAATTGGTAGTCTGTCTAACGGTCTGTCTGCCAAACTGTTAATAATCAATTTGTTTTTTCAACCAACTTTCAACCCAAACCCACTGGACCCAATTCAATCAACTGTGCCAACAAGCAACCATGCGTGGACAAAAAGGCTCAAGTTTCCTCCCAGGAAGAGCCAAAACTCTTTTAAACAGGGGATGATTAAAAATACATGTAGCTATAATTTTTTTTCTCAAGGACCACTGGACAACAGGAGAAGTGAATTAAACATATGATAAAGCTTGTTGTCCTAGTGATGATTGACAATTTATTGCTAAAAAATTAGGGTCTACATTTTCCTTGGGAATATCCAAAGACAGTTTTCAAAAATTTTCTGATAAGAAAAATAAACTAAGAAACTAAGTTAAAGGCTTTCTGAGATGTCAACAAGTTTTGTTAAAGCGTGTGTTAAGGATAGCCATATTTTGGAATCAATCCCCAGAACAGCAAGGTCTTTTAAGCAAAACGAATATTGAAACATTCCACGAAAAGGTACGGTTTTGCCTTTATTGTGCCCTAAAAATTGAATGTTCTTAAAAATTATGTAATTAATCGATTAATGAAGATATTAAGTGAAAATCTAATTCAAAATTTTACAATTTTCTGAATAGTAGTTTTTGGCAAAGACCAGTTAATGTAACTTAAAGGACTGGTAACCTAGATTGAAAATTAAATGTAAAAAGCGAAAATAACAAATGTGATCGAGCTAAAAAATATAGATTACTCAGATTAAATTTGAAAACATGCCAAAAATAAACCACAGACCTCAGAACATTCCAGGAAATTTCAATTCCAATAATGATTAAACATGTATAATGAGTCTTTTAAGTGTGAGCAGGTTTTAAGAAATCACTTGAAAAGGCTGAATCACGCCAGAAAGTTAGTCTTCTGCTGGTAAATAGTCATGATACATGCAGACTACGTTGTCACTGGTAAAAGGTTTGTTATCCATTTTTATTTCTATCAAAAATGCAACTTTATTGGTTTGTCTTATGTTTATTTTTTTCAGAGATTATAAATTGGAAACAATTGCAAATGATGAAAAAGTGAGAAAAAAAGAAGTTAAAGAAATTGTGAATTCTGAAATTTTGTCACTCACAACACAGACGGACTTAGGACTGCTTTTCCCTCCTCTAAATCTAACTTTTCAACATCTAGACAAGGTATGACGAACACCGACATTTTTTATTTCCATAAGGAAATAGAAACGGTTAATGGTTTGTTCACGGAGAACGTTTTGATAAATTATTTGAAATATATGTTTTAATGATAAAGTCTTGTAAACTTTAATCTATGTATATCTTTATTGACAATGGTTTTTTCCCTAAAGAAGAAAAAGTAAATCAAGTTTAAATGTTTTCTTTCCAGAACAAAAGTGATAAATTTCAAGCTACCTGTGTATCGTGGAATTTTACATTAAAGTAAGTCAGGTTTTTCATCTCATGTTACCTATAAGAAATGGTTCAGGAAATACATAAAAGAAGATATTCAGAAGATTAAAAAGTAAATTGACCTGAATATAAATGTTAATAGATTGATTGATCATATGTTGTTTTACGTCATATTTCAGATTTCTTCACTCATGTAGAGACCATATATATGTATCTCTCGTTGACAGTCCGGATGATGAGATCAAATTTAACATTTAGCAACTAATCGAATCATGTTACTGTTGGAATGATATTCTGTTCTTTCTATCTCATTAACGTTATTCAATTCATATCCTCCTTGAAAATACAGTCAATGAACACCTATTGCTGAAAAGTGTATATTTAAATTTCTTTACGCATTCAAGCTATAATATTGTTTTTATCTTCAGAAGGTGGTCAGGAAAAGGCTGCAAAGTGAATTCAACCACTGACAAGAGGACAGTTTGTCAGTGTAACCATCTGACCAACTTTGCTATTTTAATGAGACCGTACACATCTGTAAGAGAAAACAAATCGTCATTGTAAAATACGCTCTTAATCAGAAAACACAGAATTTCAAAGCATTTCAGTAAATTTTATTTTTTGTGAATTAAGAATGGGTTCTTTCCTTGCTCTGTCATACAATAGCATTATTGAAATCTGGCATACTCTAATTTAGGATATCAAATATATCATTTGTTTCAATAAAACAAAATTGATTAAAAAAATAGGACAAACGGAATCCTGGTTAGCATTAATGGTGGAGATGGTTTCTTTTTTTCTGGAAAAGCGGGAGGGTATATAGCATTAATGGTGCAACTCCTCTCATACCAATGAAGGAAATTTAATGAAACTTTCAAAGAATCTTTATTACATATTGCCATTGTGCACCTCCTATTTTACTTTTTGATCTGACATATATTTTGAATTTTCCAGAGCAAAACATGGATACTGCCATTATATTCATATGGGAGGCGGGGGGTATTATTCAGTGAGCTCATTGCTCACAGTACCTCTAGTTTTTTTTGCATTTATTTTGTGAGAATGTAAATTCTAAAAAATAAATAAACTATAAGTGCTTTTGAAATTTAATGCACAAATGACAGATATTTTTACATTACATATTGCAAAAATGTGTTTTTATTTCTGTTACAGGAGGAGGAAGACAAAGAGTCTCTGAAGACTTTATCTTTTGTTGGAGTTATCATCTCCATAGCTTTTACAGTTTTAACCTTCATAATTTACATCGTCTTATGGAAGTATGCCCTTCTGACAGTATTTCAGATTTGTATTCAATTGCTTTAAATCACACAACATGGAAAACATTTTGAATGGAAATGTTATTTTTTTAGACACATAAAGAATGACCAGAACATCATGCTGTTAAATCTCTGTGGATCCTTGATTTTATCATATGTTGTCTTCATCTCGGCTGTGGAAGAAACAAACAATGAGGTTATTGTAACTTTCTAATTTATCGTTCATTTTTCAATGTACAGAACTGCATATTCGACTTTACATAATAAAAAAAAACGTGTACCTTAAATTGTTACCAATTATATGAAATACCATCAACCATGTAAACAAAAAAATTCTTAAATTTGATTTTCTATATATTTTAAGGTTTTGTGTATCGCAATAACCGCCATCATCCATTACCTCTTCCTGGTGACCTTTTTCTGTATGATGGGGATGGGAGTCTACTATTTTATGAGTATAACCGTGACCTATTACGCGATGTATATGGCCAATAATTTCAAGTCCAAATCCAGAGTACGTTGGTTTCTTTTAGGAGGATGGGGTGAGTAAGGGCTATCAAAGAGGTTTGCAGAATCTAAATTGCTGAATGAATATGTGTCAGAAATTTAAATCTTTCTATGATTTTTTATCATATCAAGGTAAAATGAATGCACTTTTTCTTTTTGAATCTGAGTAAAATTTAAAAAAATGTATATAATATAAACATTTTATTTCAGGATTTCCATTAATTATTGCAGCTTCAACATTAGGGGCATTTTGGGGAAATAAATACCACGTTAAAAACTAGTATGTTTTTATTTTTAAATCGACTAGTTTGCATACACTTCCATTGCTAATAAGTAAACGTTTTGTTTATTTTAGTAACATTGTCTTAATGCTGACTTGTTATGATAAATGTTAATGATATGAATTTATTTGAAAATATTACCATTACCAACTTCTAAAACATTTTCAACTAAATATTTAAACTTTTATATAGCTCTTCAGCTAAGTGTTACACAATGTGGAAATATTGGATGCTGAATGGAGGAATATGAATATATGCTTATTTTTTTCATAGCTGCTGGTTGTCAGCAGAAAGCGGTTCTCTTTATTTGTTTATTGCTCCAGTTTGTGTCATTGCTGTGGTATGTAAAAAGAAACAGTCTGAGAAATTCTCTAATAAGGATGTTGCATATATATTTGTTTTTTTAACTAATAAAAGTACGAGTTTTAAGTCAATACAAATTTCTCTATTCTGAGAAAAAAGAAATAATTTCTTCAATGTTAATGAATAATTAAAATAAAGGATTCACATTTATCTACCTTTGTTTATGTGAGAAAAATCTCCTTCTTACAATATTCATCATATTTCTATTTGATTTATATTTCAGATAAATATTCTTATAATCGTGTCCTTAATTCGAGTTTTGTTTGCAACATCTACAATGATAAATTCATCGCTTCATAAAAAGACTGTGCAAGTATTATCTTCATCCTTTACATTTAGTAAAAGAAAAATTATCTGTTTCAAGTAAAGACAATTTGGCAAATGATCTAGTTAAAACAATTAAAAATATAAAGAAAAGGTACATGAAATCTGAATAATAATTTTTTTACATGCTTCAGAGTCTTATTTATGGATATTTGTTTTCAAAATAGGACGGCACTACGTTCACTCGGTACACTTGTACCCGTATTAGGAGTTACCTGGCTTTTTGGAGTCTTAGCTGTTAACGAAAGTTCAGAAGTATTCCAGTTTATTTTCATCATCTCTAATTCCTTACAGGTGTGATATTTGAATTCCAGTAGTAACTGAATGTAAATGAGAAAGAAGAAAAAGTTTATATTTTCTGACTATTTCATGTTGTAGATTTTCTGAGCTTTTCAATTTAATAAAAGAACAGAAAATACTTTAAGTACATAAAGCAATAAATGAGTGACAATTTAAAGTAATTTCAATTTTATCAAACTTGATGCCGCATGTTTTTATTTCAGGGATTTTTCATATTTGTCTCACATGTGCTATTAAACAAGAAGGTGAGTTTTTCTGTGTTTTGCGTTTACTTGGTTATCTTTTCCTGTATGGGAATTCTGAATTTGTGTTTGAATGGTATTCTTTTTCTCTTCAACATATACATATCAGGTACTCCTTAGGCTCATATCCTATATTTGTTTAATTATCTTCTTCATCACTAGCTTTATTTCTTTCTCTTTTAGCTCAAGTAACAAAACATTTTAAAGCTTTTTTCGATCATTTTATTTCTGCTGTTAGTTTATTGTAAGATATTGGTCGCATTAATTATAACATTTTCACCTTCTTCTGAAGAATCAAAGAAGTAATGAAATATATGGAGATAACGAACAGTATTCAAGCTCAAAAGTTCATTAAAATACAAATTTTGTAGCAGAGCACATTTGGATCTCTAAAACATCGGAGGTGGGAATAGGTGCCATGGAAGAGTGAGCATGGAATAAAGAATTATTTGAAATTATATTATCACTAAACATTCAAATAATAGGTTTTTTTACCTTTGTTTTCAGCTGATTAAGGGTATAAAGACTCAATATCCTTCCTTGAGTGGATTAAGTATATTTACCGAGTCAAGCGGAAAGGAAACAACCTCTGTATCACGGACACACTCATCGTCCTCCGATCGACCTATAGTCAAAACCAAAGTAAGCTTCGTTAATTTTCATACTTAATGTGTATTCAGAGTATTTAAATTCCAAATTTTACAAACGTTCAACAATATCTTGCTAATTTTACAAAAAAATCGAAATATAATGGTAATAATTTCTTAAATTCTATTTCGAAATTTTGATGTAGTGCTACTGTGTATTATGACTTTTATTTCTCTCAGAAAAAAGGAATTCTATCAATTTTTGGAACATCATCGGATAAAATGAAAACACGGAAACCAAATAAAGTAATTAAGTCAGACTCGTTTCTGACAGAAAAGACCTTGACAACTGATTACTCATATATACCTCCACAAGAAAAGGTAAAATCTTGTTATCTTTTTATCTAAACTTTTCTCTTGATACATGAGTATAAATACTGTAAAAAATTGTATTATAATTCTTATAATGAATTTACAGATTTGCTTGATGCCATCTGATATTGAACCAAAGCAAAAGGAGACAAAATTTGAATGAAACATTGAAGAATTGAACCAACGGTTTTACTTTTCCGGTTTTGAAACTGATTTAATACATTTCTTTAAAATGTTAATCAGTATGATCACAAACACTTCCTTTCTTTGCCAGTTCTCAGAGTGTTCTACAATGAAGAAGTCATGCCAGTGTAATCTCAACGATTATAAAAATCATTTTTGTTCTAAGAGTTAAATATAGGACAAGACCAGCTAGAGTTCCGTGAATTCCATTTTTAATCTAAGGACATATTAGTTTTAATGCATTAAACTACTGTAACAAAAGAAATTAAAACTCTTTATTGAGTAGTATTAGAACACACTTAAAGTTGTGAATGTTTTCGTTAAGGACGTAGAACCTGCACGATATGTCATATTTTTCATCAATTTATTAACAACAACAACAACATTGTGAGAGGAGGGTCCATTCTACTGTCGGTTAATTAACTTATGTAAAATAGTTAGTTCGTTTCAAGCAAAAAAAAAAAAAAAAAAAGGAAAATGAAACAAGTATTAACCTTTATATTTCGTTGTTTTATCATTTATATTTTAAAACTGATTGTACTCCAATTTATAAATCAGTACAATATAACTATTTTCAAACAAATCATGTAATGTACGTTTACCATTAAGATGAACATTTTAATTTTATCCTCTTTATAGATTTAATCCAAGGGTTAATGAAACAGCGTCAATCATTTTATCAAACGTAGCATATTGCTTCCAGCTAAGAAGTAGCTCTAGATAACCCCTGTTGAGTTTTCGATTAAACTACCCAAAAAAAGAAGAATATACCATCCGCTTAATATCTTCAGAATTTTCTTCCTCAAATTACCTTGAGTGCCGAGTAAAGGCATTTGAAGACCATCAACAGTATATGGTTACGTCTCTAAATGAATGGGAAAGTTCTCGAATGGAATGTCAATTAATGTGTAATCAATCAATTCATTAACACCAAAGATTATGATATACATAAATCAGATCTACTTTTAGAGAGGATGATTCCAATTGATTTTAAGATTAATTCGTACTAAGGGTCACAAGACAGAAAATCAAGAAAAAATTGGACATGAATTCATTGACCATAGGTTTTCTTTTAAGCCTTACTTGACAAACACTCTGATGTCCTTTAAAAGAAAATTACCCTAATAAAACGAAGTCTGATAAGGAACAAGCTTCGAATTTAGTTTTCTATCTCCTGATCCTTTTTTTAACACTTTCAGATTTGTTAAATGAGGTGTCTTGAGCTAATATGTTTCCCAGATGATACTTGTTTTCTCATTTTTTCAACAATACTTTTTCACAACATTTAATAAAACTGCTTTTATGGTGAATTTCATTTTTTGTAACGTATTGTAATTTCTAATATATATCCATATAAATTTTTTTCAAATAAAAGTCTTTCTAATTGTATTGACAACTTAATATTTTATATACATATGTTTTTTCTGACAATGATCGATAGTCTGGAACATCGCTTGATACAAAGGTGCATACAAATTTAATTACTATGAGAAATACAATGCCTCGAGTGAGGCATGAACATATATTACTTCCTCCTTCCCAATCAAACAATTAATAATGGAAAAAAAACAAGTCAAGAATAAAATAAACTAAATGAAAAATGTTACTGTCAATATATCTATTTTAACCAAACAGATAACAAGTTTAGCATCACTTCACTTATTAAGTTTTATTTGATTTGAATTATGTAATGTTTACCTGTATCCAAGGTTTTTATCAAATATGAACATGTTTAAGAACAAGTTTAAATTTTTTTAAAGTTTAAAAAAAGTTTCTAATTTTGTCGTATGTTTATGTTAGAATTAAAATACTTACACTAAGTGACAAGTTTATTTTTTCTAAAAGATACATGTGTTGAAGGTTGATTTACTTTAGCTTCAGTGCACTGCTAATTCTTAACATTATAGCCTTGTTTTATGACTCATCAAATACAACGTAGAACACGAAGGTAAATTGAAATGTCCTTGTAAAAAACGAAAGTAGAGTACACGAGTTGTAGTTGACGTGATTGTGTTTTTTTTTTCCTGAAACAGTTTATTGATGAGAAAAAAACTCGGGATTGAATTCTTTGACAAAATGGGGATTACATCAAGGTAAGTAAGTGTAACAGATATTTGTATTACATATGTAATAGCGACAGATACTAACATTCTCCATAAGCAACACGTGACCTAGTTTTCAACTTCTGCACAATTTTTACAACGAAATAATGGGGTATTTAAATATCTTATTTTTCCATTTTATCAAGTTTAATTTTTTCTGTTCTTGGGTATTTTGGGTGTATAATATTCTGTTTGCAAGACAAGTTTTGATGCATTGTATGCTGTTTGCAGAGAAAATACCGTATAATTGTTTACTGAAGTACCCTCTGATTACTGTAACGTACAAGATATAAATACACAAAACCCAATTCACACCAGAATGCCTATTGTCACTGGAAAAAATATATATATTTGAGAATGTCATTGTTTTGTACAAAAAAAAAACTAGGACATAAATTAATCTACCAGTTGTCATAAAAGTGGATACTTGCATACTTATATTGAAAAGGTAAAGTGTTTGAATTAATAAAAACCGGAAATATTCATTGGCTTGCTATGGGACATAGCATAGAAATCTGATCCAAAAAGTAGTGCTGTATATTTGTAGATGAGAAACATCGTAAACGGATCCTTTAAAAAATCATTCAAAGCGTATTTTTGGAGAAAAGTAATCTTTTGTTAGAAAAATAAGTTTTTTCGTACAAATACCTTGATTATATTTGTAATATAGAGACAACTGACCCAAGCTCAAAAGTCCTTTCAAAAGATACAAATCAGGATCAGGGAAAACACTTTTAAAATATCAGAAGTGGAATCAAGTGCAATGGAGGAATGAACATCCTTTGCCGATTGGCCACTCCTAATGAATGCTCCTTGTCATGATTGGGGAATAACGAAAAATTCGTTGACAACTCGGCGTGTTGAAAAAGACCTAGCCAAAAATTTTGGATATTCTAGGAATGGATTCGAAGTAGAAATCTTGCATTAAGTTATTTTCAGTAAAAAGAATAAAATAAGATAAAACAATCGAGTAAAATTTCAATATTTTCCAGATTGCGAACCTATTTTATTGATTTTTTTCGTAAACCCTGTTTTCACCTTAACCAACAATTTTTATCGTAGAATGATGCGATTCCTTTTTCAGGTTATCTAGAAATTGACGATGGAATTTATATACATATTTCTACAAGCTGTCCTGTTTATTCTCCTCAATGGTGAGTTTAAGTTTTCATCGAGTTCATTCTTCATTTGAACAATATGCACATGGGAATTTATTAAAATTAACTTTGCTATGGTATTCTGACGTTTAGCTTACCATGTAATAACTTCAAACTTCAATTCTGGATTGGAATGAATTCATGCTAATTATAAGTCCATTGTTGTCAGAACTGTTTTTCGATCCATTGTTAAGTGCTATACAAGACATTTAGTATTTAAACCTGAAAATTAAATGTAAAAAAAATCATACTTTTGTAAATGTTTTGCCCCTGTCTAAAAGTTAAGTTCTAATATAGATTCGAAGTCATATCTCAAAATTGTTAAGTCATAGATCTATATGTCCAATTTTTCTGATCAAAATGTGTCCATTGTCTGTCGTCGTTGTCGTTATCGTTGTCGTAAACTTTTCACATTTTCATATTCTTCTCAAGAACCACTGAGCCAATTTCAACTAAACTTGGCACAAAGTATCCTTTGGTAAAGGGAATTCAAGTTTGTTCAAATGAAGGGCCACGCCCTTTTCCAAGGGGAGATAATTATGAATTAGAGAAAAATTAATGGCATTTTAAAAAAATCTTCCTCTCAAGAACCATTGGGCCAGGAAAAATGAAACTCATGTGGAATCATTATCAGGTAGTGTAGATTCAAGTTTGTTCAAATCTTGACCCCTAGGGGTAAGGTGGGGCCAAAACGGCCGACCAAATTCTGCTCTTATTGTGTATTGTTTTATATATGTCATTCAAAAGTTATCCCTGAATTTGATTTTTATGAAAATTTGGTAAATCGTGGCTAATTCAAAGTAATATTTTATTTTTTTGAAATGTAGGTCAAATTTCAATGTCATGGTCAGGGGTAAAAATTCATAGTTTCTTTAGAAAGATCTTGTCACAGGTAATACATATGTATAATATGAAAGCCCTATCTCTTCTCATTTAAAAGATATGGTCAAGGATTAAGTTTTTGTGAGACACGGACAGACTTACAGACGGACAAAGAATAAGATTTAATGTCCATTTGCTTTTGCGAAAGCGGGGAGCAATAAATAAGAACAATATTTCTTATCATTTTTTGTAGTTTCGACTTCGTTTGCTTGTCAAAGATTTCAGCAAATAACTCTCCAGCCTTATACAGGGGATTATGTCGCATATCCAGAGAACTACCCGCAGAAGAAAGGATACAATGCGTGAGAATTCTTACAGATTTATAAGATTTATACTATGTAAAACATAAAGATGAAATTTCTTTTTATTACCAATTTTAAAAGAAAAGTATTTAGAAAAAAATGGGAAATTGAAAATGTGATTTCATTTAGAAATATAAATTGTTCCTGGGAAATCACCACAATACAGGGGTTTGAAATTATATTTTATCCCCAATGGAACTGCGACGCTCATGCATCCTTGAATCTTTACAATGGTATGTATAAACAGAATATATATTATGTTTGTTTAAATATCATTCATTTTCTACTATTAACGCATTTGCTGTTAAATTGAGGTGAACGTTAATAAAAAACATAGGAGTCATATCTAATTAAATGTAGAAGCATCCTCAGGTAGAGCATTTATTTTTTTTCTTTGCGTTGTTCTGCTCTATTATAGAAAGTATATATTAAAATATACAACTTAATATTTTTTTATGAAGGTTTAAGTACCTCGGCGGAGAAAAATGACAAGATAGGTTGTCTCCTTACAAAGAGTTATTGGAAAATTCAAGCATCTAGATCACCAGCAGTTCTTCTGACTTTTTCAACATTGTCTACGTTTGATGGAGGTTTCAGTTTTCGTTTCATGGCGGTGGAAAGCAACAAAGGTAAATACAAATAATTTTTATATTATAATAGACCTAGGACCTAATTGTATAGTTCTGAAGTAAAAAGAAATTCTCTGTAGAGATATATAATGTAATTGATATAGAGTTGTTTGTATATATTAAAAAAATATCATTATACAAGGTATTCCTTGCATGGTGCTAGGAATTTAACAAATTAATAGATAAAAGAAATCGTAAAAAACATATGTGCTTACAGAAATACAAGTTTGCCTTAACTTTTTTACGTCTTTCTACCGATTATAAAAAAAGGTACATGTCCTACCTTTATCTTTTATTGATAATATTTCACGATTTGACTTCTTCTGGCCAAAGCAGCACTGAAATACATGTGTACTGATTTAAGATTGTTGTCTATTGGCCCATCCCTCTGTTTGTGCTGCTGATCTTTTCTTAGTTTATCACATTTTAACAAGACATGCAACTATAACAAAACTTTTTAGTTATAGCTTCATTACATCTGGAGATATATAATGTATTTAAGAGGATTAAGTTTCTGTGAAATAAAAATCCTTTATGATTCAAAGTTTCAGATCAATGAAAATTACAGATATAAGAGCATCCCTGTATAGTAAATTCAACGGTTACTTCGTGTAATAATTTTCGAGATCAGATCCTATTTCTAACAGCAAAAATAAATCCACATTTACTTCTAGTCAAGGTTTAGCTCTTAATAATTTTTTACCCCCCCCCCCCCCCCCCCCGCCAAAAAAATCCGACATGTTTATGACTATTAAAATAAATATGAAAAAAAACCCGAAGGTCTTCTTTTGTCTTAAATGACACATTTGAGGTTTTGTGAATTATACTACCATGGTAAATAAGTAACATAATAAACGAATAATTATTTCATACCCGACTTTTAAATTACAATTAATTTACAGTTGTTTTCATAATAATTCGATCCTCATGGATATATTTACGATAGAGCTTTAATATCTTGCCATCCTGAAAGAATAAATTAGAAGACATTATGAATTTTATTAATTTTTTATTTAATTTTAATTCATATCCACAATTTACATACATTTGGACCATAATTAGGAATTTAAATCTCAAATTGACAATATACAAAGATTCTTGGTGGTTTCTGACTTTTCATGACACATCTTGTTTCAGAAATATAAAAAAAAATCAATTGTTTTCATGTAGATGAACCCTGTGCCCCTAATGGTATAAAGTTGCTGGCAGAAAGACAACCTAATTTTATTCTGTCTCCTGGTTTCCCAGCTGAATACCAAAGGTACAGTCATGTATTTTAAAAGATTTTTTGCAAAAGAGTAATTTATTGCACTATTTATCAGCATTTCAAACTTTTGTTGTTTTCAGTAACTTGAACTGTGTATGGATGGTGGAGCCTGCTATCAGAGAGAGAAACACACATTTGGTGTTTCAGTTCCGCTCTGTGTATTTGGAGAGGAGTTTTGATGCATGTGCCGATTACGTCCAGATAGATGGCTTAGATAGTAAATATATATAAATCTTTAACCTAATGTCATTTGTTGATGCGGTCGGATTTATTGTTCTAGATCTTTGTCCTGCAAATTTATTAAGCAATGTACGAGTACATAAATTGGCATGTTTAAAATTAAGCGCAAACACATGATATTGAGTTGTTGGCATATCCATGAAAAAGCAAAATTGGCATGTTCAAAATTAAGCGCAAATACATGATATTGAGTTGTTGGCATATCCATGAAAAAGCACCATTCACAAACGCGTCTTTTATTGTGTGGACCCTGAGGTCCACGCAGTAAATATATAAGCGAGGTTAAACCAGATGCCATGGGCAAATGTCAAGCTAAGCATGCGCGAGAATGCTAGAGAGTTGTCATTCGGCAACTCTCTACTGATTCCGTCGCCTACATCAATTCGGATATTAGAATATGTCATTCATTGGCAAATCTCGCTTTTAAATCTGCTTATCGTATTGATATATTCATTGGCGGATCCGAATTTTTCTCTTATACATATGCTTTTATATACAAACTAAACATTTTATATGGCACAAAAATATTAAAAAGTAGAAAGTACTTGCAGTATATAGATAAATTAACAACTTGAATTAAAAACTTTATTCAACTACTAGTTTTAGCTTTTAAAAAAGAAAGAACAAGTCTTCACCGCAATTAATTATCTGCATTAAGGCTTGCATTAATTATTTGATATACAGCAATCCAAATACATCTTGATAGAGGCCTGTGGCACCGAATTTCAATGTGGGGGAGGGGGGAGGGTCAGGAAAAAAATCTGAGTACTACAGAGCTGTGCTACATGTGTACCATCAGATCTATTTTCCAATGATAGATTTCTTCCGCATAAATCCAGAACAGATGCATGTCAAGTGCCAGCCGTTATGGGTTACATGTATCAAAATAGCCTGATTTTTTTTAAATGACAAAACTAAAGGCTGATCGGAGATAAAAGTTTATAATTTTGCTATGAAAGTACTATTGATCAGTCAAAGAAGGCAGATCATTGTAGAAAATGTGAACAAACCTACATAAATATGTAAACATCAAAAAATTTTCTTCAATGGAATTTCGGTTAGAAACACATCATATGGTCCACGTATTGTAGTCCTTTTTTAAAGGACAGCAACTTGTTGCATTATAAATTATGTGTTAGCTGTATTCATGAATTAGCGTATCAATGCGCGTGTCTGCACCAAAGCTGCTAAAGTACAAAGCCCGCTATTTTACGTTAACACATACGAGGGCTGTTCGAAAAGTTCATGGACGATTTCAATCTTCGTTATATTACTCACTAGAAATTTAAAGCAATATGAGCTGTATCTTTGAGATTTTTATTTTGCTGGTAAAATGTGCTATTATGATTAATTTGTATGTAAATTAAACCCATATGACCAATAAGCCCAAAATAAAGTTTTAAAATATTTGAGAAGAAATATTTCTGTACAACCGAATATGCAGTTTTATATAAGAAATCATTATTGTACAGGACGACAATAATTCAATTTTGCTTCAATCAAAGCTAATAAAAAGATTCCATCGCAAATATGAACAACAGAAGTTTATAAATGATTTATTTTTCTGTCATTAAATTAGTTAATTACAAATTTGCAATAAAATTTTCCGATGTCAAACATGCAGCTCATATTGCTTTAAAATAAGCACAATACAATTTGTAAAAATAATTGTTTTGTTGATGTGTGAAGTTTCATTAATATTTTATTGGATTTAAGAGAAATCAATTTACTTCATTTTAAAATAAACATGTTTTGTACCCGTGAAGCACACTATACGGCAATCAATGTCAAAACATAGTGTCAAGAATTTCTAAAAAATACTATGCACAAAGTATTATCCAATGTCCACTCATTAACCCTTTTCTAATACTTGACATTCATTTTTTCAGAATTGCTCTCGTTGTATAATTTCCTTTGTCAAGGTTTTAATTTCTTTTATTACTTACATGTAAATCTGCGTTCACATGATAAGCGACTCTGAAGCGCCTATGTCTTTCCTTGACTTTCCATTTTTTAACAAGTTTTTGTTCAGCTTTTTACAGGTTAAACGTTTTGTTCAAATATTTAAAAAAATATTTATTTTAGGTCATGAATTTGGATATTTTCACCGAAGCTCGTTATTTTGATCGAAGCTCGTTCCCCCGAAATATTGCTGAAATATTACCGAATCGGCTTTAAACAATAAACAATCAATCAATCATTCAAAACTGATTAACTCTTCTTCGGGTTAAAACACAACGTGTTTTATTCTCTTATTATAATAAGTGTTTAATTTTGCCTTTTAAGATGAAAGATTTTTTGTTTAATGCTACCAGAAACAATTAAGACTTGGAGCCATAAACTTTCATCTGTTTAAAAACAGAAATGAACACTTCTTAAAAGTTTAATTTCAGTTCAATTCGTTTTGTAAATGATAATAATTGAGCATGATTTTCTATGACTAAATATTATCTGGTTTACAAATTACTTTGTTTAGAATTTTGTGAAGACGTTGAAAAACAGATCTTACAGTCTTCTCCTAAAATTCGACTGAATGAGACTTCATCGAAAGTGAGCTTCATCAGTGACATAGGATTTGCAGGGAGTGGATTCGTTTTGGCTTTTTACATTGAAGGTTAGTTATAAATTTGATTAGTTCTCTTAATCTCTTCCTTGTTCTAAATATTTTCTTTGCCGTGTTGTAATTCGTTGTAATCATTTTTAGACACAGTGCAGTCATGTGCTTGTCAAAATGGAGGAACTTGTATGAATTCAACATGTGTTTGTATTCGTGGTTATGAGGGCACAAACTGTGAGTATGGTTAGTTTACATATGATATTTTTACTTTAAACACTTTTTGTAACAACTTCATATTACGTATTTTGTTAAATATCTTTCCCTGGGGTAGGAAATAACGTTAAAAGTGCGCTTCAGCAAGATACATGGGATGGGATGCATACTCTGGATTTTTTCCTCAAATTACTACTCTGTTTTTATTTCATCGGGATAAGTCTAGAATTTAGATGTAGTTCTGTTTAAAGCGAATTTGATGACTGGGATAATTAATTGTCTTTTCTTTAAATGATTCTTTTTAATCCTTTGAAAAGCTGTTCCTTTGTCTAAATTTGTTTTCTATATATTTTCCTATCAACAGAAACATTGAAGATACTTTCATTTGAAGTTAGCGATTCAGTACTGAGTGAAGACAAAGAAGTATGGTTCAAAATGGAATTAAGGGACAGCATTAATCACAGCGTTCAGTGGTTCCGAAATGGAATAATGATATCTAATGCTTCTGTGAGATTTAAAATGACGTCATCACGAACAGGAAATGGAACATATCATTATATGCTTCATATCCCGCATGTTTTAAAACGGGATGCAGGTAACTTTAGATGCAGTGATTTTGTGTAGAAAGTAAGATTGATACTTATACAATATCTAAAATAATTAAATATTTGAATTTGAATTAAATTGTCGTGTAGGTGTTTGGGGGGTTACTGCATATAATGGAGTGACAACAGTAAACAGAAGCCTCAGTCTTCAAGGTAAGAGTATAGAAAATAAAAAATCTACTTTTATAGTTTCTTTTCCAAAAATATGAGTCAGTCTTCATTCAAAATTTTAACGAGTCTTATTCAAACACATTTTGTGAACCTTCCATATAGATATTTAACTTATCTGTGAAGGTTTTGAAATGTTTATGAGTACGCTTTTTCAATATTTATAAATAATAATTTTTTCTAGACATTTGTAAACCTTATCAATTTTTTTTACTGAAATAAAAAAAGGAATTCAGTTTCAATCATTTGTAAATATGCACATTCTTAAATTATAAAATGCCATACATCCTTTAAAATATATCAATTCTGTTTTCAAAGTAATTTCCACGTTCTTTGTTTTCAGTTCTTCCGAAGCTTTTGCTCCAGGTGATTCCACAATACGATTTCTACATAATTAGTGGCGAAGATATACATTTACAGTGTTCTGTAAAAAATCCTAAATCTTTGATTTATTTAAGAAATGGAAGATTGATTTGGCAAAAGGATGATGAAAAAGATTTATCTTTGACAGGTTGATGTTTGAAACAACATTTATCTGAACTTTTATTCAAGATAACTTTTCATCGATTAAAATTTCAAAAGTAATTCTTAACCTTAGTTGTTATTTTTGAACAAATTCATAATATAATGAATAAAAAATTCTTGTTTTATATAATATACCTTATTTTAAAATGGGGAGATTTATGATAACGATATCGATCAGGAAAAATAAATATGTACTTTTATGAAAATGTTAATAATGGCAGATTCTAAGTTCAATATAAGCCGAGGAAATACGTATACAACATTGTACAGACCCTCAGCGTTACCGGAGGATTCTGGAAATTTCTCCTGTTCTCACTCTGCTGATCCTGATATAGTCAGTGTGTCTGTCTATGTAAAAGTGATCAAACCAGGTACGTATATTATCCAGCCTTTGTTTCATTATGATAAAACAAAAATGATCAAATTTTACTCAACAATATGTGTATGTTTTATTCAGAGCAGCTGAGATGTCCTACAGAAAATTTAAATGGGATAATATGGAATACAACTATTGCAGGGATGACTAATAAGAAATCATGCCCAAAAAGTCAAAAAGGTTTTTTTTTCCTTTTGAAAATAAACAGTGGTTCTTATTTTGTATTTGTTGATATTTTTATTTAAACAAATGCCATCGGACAATATCATGAAAAGAACGAAATTTGAAATAAATATTAACTCTTTAGGCACTGCAACTAGATACTGCGACATTCAAGGAATATGGACCGCTCCTGACTTGATCAATTGTACCAGTGAAGGTTTTGTAAATACGTCGAAAGAGGTAAGTCATTATATAATGTATATATTTGTTCTGTATACTACGGAAGCCCATTTAGGACCTATCAAAAAATATTTTTGAATTCGTTATAACGATTTTTTAGAATTCGTTATAACGAATTAAATTTGTTATAACAGATTTATTGAATTCGTTATAACGAATTTAATTTATTTTAACAGATTTATTAAATTCGTAATAACGAATTTAATTTGTTATAACAGATTCATTGAATTCATTATTACGAATTTAATCTGTTATTACAGATTTGTTGAATTCGTTATAACGAATTTAATCTGTTATTACAGATTTGTTGAATTCGTTATAACGAATTTAATCTGTTATTACAGATTTGTTGAATTCGTTATAACGAATTTAATCTGTTATTACAGATTTGTTGAATTCGTTATAACCAAATTCGTTGAATTAGTTATAACGAATTCAACAAATCTGTAATAACAGATTAAATTCGTTATAACGAATTCAACAAATCTGTAATAACAGATGAAATTCGTAATAACGAATTCAATGAATCTGTTATAACAAATTAAATTCGTTATTACGAATTTAATAAATCTGTTAAAATAAATTAAATTCGTTATAACGAATTCAATAAATCTGTTATAACAAATTTAATTCGTTATAACGAATTCTAAAAAATCGTTATAACGAATTCAAAAATATTTTTTGATAGGTCCTAAATGGGCTTCCGTAGTATACATAGGAGAAAATTTAAGATTTAAAATTACCTATCTTCTTTTTTGGAGCTCCTTGTTAGAAATATCTTTTTAAATGATTTTTGAACAAAATTGGAATTTTAAATATCAAACATTTAAACACGATTAACTCAAATATCAAAGTAGAAATAAATGTATACAAAAACATTGTTCATCATTTCTTACATGAGAATAAAAATTATCTTGTGTTCGTTTTCTAAAGTTGGATTCATTACTAGAAGACGGTGTTAATAATATAGAAAAAGTGCGAGACACCGTGAATAACACATTAGTGAAGATGAAACATCTGACATCTCAAAGTAGTTCACTGAGTGCAGGAGATATCAGCTCCTCTCTTGACATCATAGAAAAGATTGTTGATGTCACTAATCTGACGAATGCAAATATCGAGGAAGAAGTGAGTAAAATAAAATGCAGTTTGCCGCCTTTTCTTAATTCTTTAATTGGAGAAAGAAGACAGGGAAAAATAATATCATAAATCGAATGTGTGCGTTACGTTAAAAGGAATTATGGGTGTAGGATGTAATTTTTTTTTTAATTTTTGAACTCTTTCAAGGTATTTTTCGAGATCGTTGACAATGTTTTATCAACTAACAATTCAGACTCCTGGACGACAATTAAAGAAAAGGTAATTTTGTTTTATTTATAAATAACAGAAAAAATTAGAAGTTAGGATTTTATCTCCCTAGGAAGGCACATGCCCATTATTTGAAATTTGAACAATCCACGTCAACATTCAAATAAAATGGAAAACATTACTATCGATTTGAAAGCAGTCAGCCAATATGCAACTCGGTTATCATGTTGAATATTTTATTAAGGTCTTTTTGACAACCGTAGAATTTACGAATTGATGAGGTTTTAGAATTCAACAACTTATCTCACACTAATCTGCCTCTGTCTAAAAATTGATCGCACTCTGAGCATGTTCTTTAGTAATGAATAAGTTAAGAGACGTAAATAAAAGTGCAAAATAATGTCAGTTGACGATGGGATATCTGAAATCGCCTTGTTTGTCATGCAGTGGAGTTCTTAGTTGACCCTTATAAATCTTCTGTGATCCTTATCTCCTGTAGTCAGTAAAATATCCGAAAATGAAAAAGATTGAGCAGATTTGTTGTATCTTTATATACAATTCATTTTATTATAATATGTGTAAATATGAATGGCAATTACTAACATCAGTTTGATAATAATTCGTCAAATATTTGAATTTGCACTTGAGGTCCACAGAGATGTTTTAATTTTCTCATTTAGAGTCTTTTAAATAAATGTTAAAGAAATTTTATCAGAAATCTTTGAATGAAAACAGGAGTCGATGGTTTACAAAAGAGTAGAGTTAAACTAACACTAAGAATATCACTAAGAAGTGTTCGACATAATTACTTTTAATTAATTCTGAAGCTCTATATATAATATACATTTCATTTGCAAATTCAAATTTAATTTAGACGAAGAAGGATGGTAGCGTTCTGTTGAAGAACATTGACAGACTAAGCGAAGTTATCATGAAAAACAACAATGTAACAGCAACTAAGTTTACTGGTAAAAACTTAGGTAAGTTTTACTTAAACTTTTGTGCAAACCACAAGAAAAAATAGGGATTTAAAAAAAAGGTTTCAGCTCTACAGGTCAGAGACCATCATCGGAAACCCACGGTCGATCTCTTAAGAAAAGTAAGAGAAGCGAGACCGACTGTGGGATTGCGACGATAGTCAGAGGCCAAAAAATCTTTTGAGATGTCTGTCATTCATCTGTATAGCTGTTTTTAGTGTGAAAACTTCATTTTAATTCTTTTAGAGGTAACTGTTGACCGAACGAATGTAGAAGAAACAGGAATAATTTTTCCGGAGATTTCCGTCAATGAAAGTGCTGATATTGTTGATGAATATGCAACATTTCTTGAATTGCCCAAGCAAACACACAAATCAAAGAAAGGTAATTACTTAAGGGATACTCTTAATATTTCATTTAATTTTTTCATAACAAATGATACAATAATTTTCGGAGAATAGCTTTTCCTTTAACAATTCGTAAGTCCTATCAAAGTCTTATCAAGAAAATAACTGAAGAAATGGAAAATTTAAGAACAGTGCTCATCAAAACAGTATTATTGTGTACAAAATAAGTCAACTGCCAGAAAAGGCGAAATCGAATTTGCTTAGTTTGGGACATATTTTTTTTCAAATAATGTAGAAAAAAATGAATAAGGGACTTTGTTTTTCAGCTATAACCTATGTGGCTGTTATATACAAGACAGTTACAGACATTTTACCGACAGATATAAGGTAAGAAAGTACTTTTAGGAAAGAAAAGTATAATTTTATTTTTTTTTTTTCGTTTTTGTTATGTAATAATAAATAATATTCTGATATAATATGAAAGATTAGATTTATCAAACTTATTCGTAAGCCAAAGAGTATATCATTTTTGGATATGATATGTTCATAAATGGTGGAAAACCTCTTAAAATGCAGGTAACACTTCTACAACTTTAAAAACAACAACTTTAGATGTTTTGTGATCTCGGGCCTGTGAAACGGTGTCTTAGGTCTTTACATACAATAAGTGTATATATATTTGTGAATATATTTCTGTTAGAAAACAAACCATTTTTTTCTTTGTTTGTAAAGAGGGGAGGATACAGCAAGTGATAAAGAAGTCGTTAATTCTGAGATTCTCTCACTGAGCACACAGACGGATCTCGGGATTCTGTCTCCACCTCTAAATCTGACTTTTCAACATAAAAACAAGGTAGCATGAAAACAAGGTCACATGATACCGTTATGCATATTAATTTTTTTGAACATTGAAAACTTAATCTTCTTAACATCAAAGAAACACTGCAATGATAGTTTAATCAATTCTTTTCCTCGTTATTTTCACTAGAACAAAAGTATTCATCTTACTGCTATTTGTGTATCATGGGATTTTATCTCAAAGTAAGTTAATACGTATTTTTTGTAACATACATGCATTCAGTAAATGTGTTGGTTGCAGGAAATTATCTGCTGTAATGAAAACATGTAATCTTTTTAACAATAGGGCAAAATCGTTTCAGAAATATTCATGAAAGAAGTGATGAATTCGGAATTGGACGTTTTACATTTAGAGCAGCACAATTATATTGTATAAAAAGCCTTTCAAGATGTTCATTTAAAAATAGAGTGTGAAAAGCATTTGATTGGTAGGTTTAAGACGAAAGAACTTTAATCATCACTTGAAAATTAATTCTTGATTTAGCAAATGGTCCGAAGAAGGCTGCAGAGTAAACTCCACCAATAACAAGAGAACAGTTTGCCAGTGTAACCATCTGACTAATTTTGCCATTCTGATGAGACCATATACATCAGTAAGATTATTTTCTTTTACATTCGTATCTTATCCACAATTACTCCTGTACATGTGATGAAAATCAAATGAGACTCAAACAATGTTTTTTATACGAGCGTATAGTGCTATTGAGCTTTCATATTTCATAAAACTTATCTTACTGTACAGTTTTGTCTTCCCATGTCAAAATAAAAAAAAAAATGGAATTCGCTATTTTAATCATATAAGAGCGAGGATTTTATTTTGTCAGTGTTAACAGTACCCCTAGTTTTCAAAGTTTCTTTTAAATATTAAAGATAAATACCTTTATTTCAGGAAAGTGAAGACAGTGCTTCTTTGAAGTCGATATCTTTCATCGGTGTTATCGTGTCTATTGTTTTCACGATGCTTACATTCATCATCTACATAGTAGCATGGAAGTATGATTACGTTGTTAATTTTTTTTTCAAATTTAAGAAGACCTTTAAGATATCTTTTTAACTTTTAGGAAAATAACTCAATGAACTTTTGATTTCAGACATATAAAGAATGATCAAAATATCATGATGTTAAATCTCTGTGGATCGTTGGTTGTATCGTACATTGTCTTTATTTCTGCTGTCGAGGAAACAAGTAATGAGGTAACCTTTAATACTATATTTTAATGATTGTGTTGGAAGGCAAGATAGTTTATGAAATGTTGTGGTTGGGACAAGAAGTTAAAAAAAAATTGAATGTAAATTCAAAGTCTTGATTAAAAAAGCGAGTGTCATTTCAATCCAGACTCTATCAGTGAATGTACGTATATATTATAATGGAAAACAATATCCAATTTTCATTTTAAAGAACTTCAAATTCATGTACATATAATTGAAATTGCCCGTTACTGAACATTTCCTGATTGTTTATTCTTCAATAATATAACATATTACAGAAACATACTAAGTAAATAAAATTTGTTTGAAGCAAATTAAGAAATAACTTTATCGCCACAATTTTGACAATAACAATACTTATAAATAACAGAAATTGTTAAAGCAGTCCTTTATTGTAGAAATTATCAAAGATTGAAGCAATGTTAATTACTTGTCCAGAAAACTGGGCCATGAAATGATAACACTATGTTTTATTTATATATCAATTTTATTTAAAGAGTTTGTGCATCGCAATAACCGCCATCATCCATTATCTTTTCCTGGTGACCTTTTTCTGTATGATGGGGATTGGTATCTACTATTTTATGAGTATTACAGTAACCTATCATGCCTTGCGTGTGGCAAACAATTTCAAGTCTATATCTAGAGTGCGTTGGTTTCTTTTAGGAGGATGGGGTGAGTTGTTTCGAAATGTTTAAATTGTACATTTTAGCTACTAACATGGGAAGAAATTAGTAAATGTATCTAGAATAAATAGCACTAATATTTTTTTTCTATATTTCGATCCTTAGAGAACATTGAATCAAAATCTTTTTTCCCCATAAAACACGATGTGAAACTGCGCCTTTCAGTCAAATGAATGTTTAGTAAGATGTCTGGACATGTAACTAGATGTCAGACCTCTGTTTTACAATTCAGTCAGCCTCCAGTAAATACAATTCAGTCAGCCTCCAGTAAATACAATTCAGTCAGCCTCCAGTAAATACAATTCAGTCAGCCTCCAGTAAATACAATTCAGTCAGCCTCCAGTAAATACAATTCAGTCAGCCTTCAGTAAACCTTCCGTCATCTTGGTGTAGTTTTATCATGTGTTTCACTTTTATTTCAGGTATTCCATTACTAATTGCTGGAGTAACATTGGGAGCTTTTTGGGGGAAGGGTTACCATCTTAAGAATTAGTAAGTTGTATGAAAACTGCATGATTCATACATGTAAAAAAAAACTACGCAGATATCTCTTTCCAAATACTAGTATGTGCAGATGGAAATTTAAAAAAGAAAACAAAAGGCAAGGTGAAAATTTGAAAACATGAACAGATATATATGACAATGAGTGTTTGAATATACATTGTAGTTACTTTATGTGCAGAAGCATATATCATAAGATGACACTTGATATTTTTTTCTTGTACAGTTTTACAGTTTTAAAATTTTATCTTTGAAAGTTACAAAGTTCTGAAATTTTGAAACGATTTCCCTTAAATAAAATAGCTCTACATTTAATAAATGACAAGAACGAAAGGTTAAAATGTTATCAAGTTCAAACTTATTTTGTTAATTCTCAATACTGGTTTAGCAAATTTTCGAAAACAGTAAAAATGGAAGGAAGAAAGGTAGTTAGGTAGACAATAAAATTATAAACATATGGCTCTATTTCCTTTTACCTGATCATGATGGTTTGTAAAACCCTTAAACTGAAAATATTAAGTCAAAAGAGCTCAGAATTGCTTTACGATATGGACCGGAGAATAACTATATTTAAATATAGCCGACTTCACATTGAAACATTATGTTTTACTTTATTGTAAGTTCCACAGTGTACATACTTTTTAAGACTGTGATTCAATTTGTACTTTGAATCTTTGTTTCTGCTTCATATACATACCTAGATCAAAAGCTAAAGGTTATATTTTAGTAAAAAATTACATTAAACATGTGAAAGTATATAAGAATTCTACCTGATCAATCATTTCAGCTGCTGGCTCTCAATGGAAAGTGGTTCTCTTTATCTCTTTATTGTTCCAGTTTGCCTTATTGCAGTGGTAAGTTGTTTAAATATTTATTGATATTTATTAACTATATCTGTTTTTAATCTTTTTTTTATTATGAGTTAAAGATAAACAAGCACGGAAAATTTTGCTCAAGTTGATCTTTTTCATACATTTCAGCTAAACATTATCATTATTGTGTCTTTAATACGAGTATTGTTGGCCACATCTACAATGGTAAACTCGTCCCTCTACAGAAAGGCGGCGTGAGTGTTTATTTATTACTCTACCTTTAACATGCATCTTATCAACCAAAACCAAAAAAAAAAAAATGAAAGTGAGCTATATGCTGAACCAAGCCTATATATATGAATCTTTAAAAAAAAAAAGATAGGGTTTATTCATGTGTCTTTTTCTGATTTTCAGTTTTTTAAATTCTATTTCATTAAATTTTTTTCCTTTGTATGAAAATCTACAATTTATCTCGACTTTTTAATGTTAATTTGTTTTACTAGATCTGGATTGCGATCTCTTGGTACACTTGTACCAGTATTAGGAGTTACATGGATATTTGGAATTCTAGCTGTTAACGATAGGGCTGAAATATTCCAATATATTTTTATTATAGCCAATTCCTTACAGGTTTGTTTTTTTCTCGAAAATACGCAGATCGAACAAATAAAATGTCCATTTTTTCTCAACATTTTTTTTTATAAAGTTAGGGTTAGGAATCTTATGCTCTATTTTTCAAAGTAGGGCAAAAATAGGAAAGGTACTATTCTTTTTCATAATAAAACGATTAATATATAGTTCAGATTTTAAAATGTGGATGTTTTGTTATATATTGATTTTGACTATAATGCTACTATGGAATGCTATACTCAATAAATAAATGTCTATCATTTAAAAATTCCTATATATATTTTGTAATTACTAGAACATGTAATTTATAATAAAAAGTACTCTTTTATACTACAGGGATTGTTCATATTTATTTCGCATGTGGTGTTAAATAAGAAGGTAAGAAATGTTTAATAGTGTGCACCTAAATAATACAATCGTAGGGTAAATGTTTAGATATATTTTAATTTGTATACATTGCCATGTACGCGTGCACTTATTTTCATTTTTCGAATGAAACATATGGAAATAACGACCAGTGAAATTGTCAACTTTAGGGTATTTACATGGGATGTTAAATATACAAAAATATATGGACTGACCATTTCTGATTTTTTTTTTAGCTAATTAAGGGTATAATAATTAAGTATCCCGCCCTGAGTGCGCTGTCGATGTTAACAGAGTCAAGTAAACAGGAATCAACCCCTGTTACAGGGACTCATTCCGCTGCATCTGATCGTCCTATATTAAAATCAGAGGTAAAATATAGATTTTAAAGACATTCGCTATAAAATTCTTTAAAATAGTACATGTAACTCAAACATGAGATTTCGAAAGATTCTATTTAAATGTAATAATTAACTATATAAAATAAGATATAGCCCTATTCGTGTTTAGTTCGGGAAAAAAATAGTACTTGTATTAAAAACATAACTCATAATGGTATTTGACGAATTTTTTTTTTTTTCAGCGAAAGGGATTATTGTCAAAAATAGGAAGATCTTCAAACAAGAAGAAAGCAGACACTAAAATGGAAATGGAATCCGAATCGTTCTTGACTGAGAACACAGACTCAAGTGGATTCTCCAATATCAGTTCCCAGGAAAAGGTAAAACTATTTAAAATGTCATTTCCTATCAATATTAGAAATAATATTGGCAACTTTCTTGTACAGTGTATATTTTAGTTTGTCATGTTGTTGTTGTAATCTTTTCCTTTTGCTAGATTTCAGCCTTAAGCATTAATACCCTCTTTCTGGACAAAGTACACATTTCACACAGTTATAATATTCTTTTGTTTTAATAAATTGAATTTTTCCAAATGTTTTATTGATGTTTCATTTGATTGTAAAATGTTAACATGTAAATGTATGACATTGTCTTTTTTGCAGAATAGACGAAGACCAAGATTACAGTTGAAAATAAATAAAAAGAAGACGTATACAGTGACAACAACATAATATTTCATATTTAATAAAAAGAGTATAATGTAAAAGAATTATTTTTTGTCCTAAATAATGGCATGGTTTTAATTTGACTTTTCCTGAGAGATTGCAGACAAATGGTTATACATGTATGAAGTAATTCAAGTGCTGCTTAAGGTACCTACATGTAGTTACGTAACATTATCAATCATGCATTAACAAATTCATGTAGTTAAATAAATAAATAAATACATTTAATTAACTGTATCTCATAGATATCAAGAGAAAACACTCTGTTCATAACAGAATCATGAAATCACAAAAAAAGTTTAGATTTATAATTAAATTGTATTAAATCGAAGGTTTAATCAACATTGATTATATCAACGGTGTTGTATGGAAAACATAAACATTGAAACTTACAAACTTACCTCAGTATACAAATAACTCAACAACAATATACATTTATTGACTGAGTTCGAGGGCAACATGCATTTTGTCGGACCCAAGAAGCAACAGCCTCAGGCAGACTGTGAGTTTGATTCGAAGGTCGACAAGATCGTATTTGCCCAAAAACACAATAAATAAATGTTTTGTTATACCTTTTATTTTTTATATACATGTATCTTGTACTATCTTCCGTGATGTAGCCTCATGTACTCAGTGTTGAACACCAACGCATGCAAATTTTTATGAGAGATAAGCTCTGCCCATTGTGTGACGTAAGCGGGCGGTCCATGCAACATAGACGGGCCCAACATCTCACACAGCGGTCAAACATCGATTTTTTATGCTAGAGTAAAACATTTTTAGAGTAAAACATTACAATTGTTAGACTTTTTTCGTAAAGATTTATATATAACTATAGGAAAAAAATTTTAAAGGTATATAATTGAACAAATAAATTGTGAAGTGCAAACAGTTCAGAAACTTTATTAGAGATTTCATGGACAATGAAAATTGCATTTAGAAAGGCATTATAGTTTACATATGACCTGGCAATAAATTGATATTTTAAAGGGAAGGAATTTGAAGAAAAAAAAGATCATAAGAAAATAGTGTGATTGAGGATAATATGACTTTCACTGCACAAGAATTTTCAAACCGTGCGTAATTGTAAATATTTCATTCCAAATTATCGAAGATGTTCCTTAAAAGGATTCCATTTTTATGGCAATTATATATTCGATGAATCGATTTTGATTTTGAAAGGCAAATATAATTCAATCGGGATCGGCCTTCTCATGACCATAGTCATGTGACCAAACAGAAAGAATCGAGATATGCAGTAGTCACAGTTGATTGCATGTTTATAACTTGCTGATGTAAGTATACATATGTAAACAAATTAATATTTTCTCCTTGTATTTTCTATTTACCGTACAGTTGTAAATGGCTACTCTTTTTTCAATTCAATAAATGTATTGACATCATTGGAACTGTTGGAATATTCTTTTTCGAAATAAAAAAAAAAGAAATGCAGAGATCATCCTATTTTCTTGTATATAAAATTAACAATGATTAAAATTGCTTCAGTTGTAAGTAACGTATATACGAAGCTATAAAAAGAGAAACTTTATGAGCCTATGTGCATTTTATTTACTAAAGAAAATCGTTATAAGTGATGTAATTAATGCCATATATTATATAATTATATAGTTATATAGTCCTGAAGCAAAATTATATACATACATGTTCAACATGTCCAATTTCATCAGAAATATAAATTCCCAAAGAAATAAATGCACATCCTACTCAATTAAAAAAAAAAGAAATGTATATAGGCATTTATTTTATTGTTTCTCATTAAACAAGATATATTAATTTAATTATTTATGTTAAAATTTGACCATTAAAATATTTGTAAATTGACAATTCGTAAAATAACTCCTGGTATATGTACATGTATCTAATCTATCAGACAGCATGGACAGTGAAAAAAAGAGAAAGTGACAATTCACATGTAGGACGTGATTATACATATTATCCAGTGTACCTTGACAGGTACGTGTAACATCCCTATCAGAGCGATCTATTTAAGTCCAACAAATCAGCTGATGAGTTGTGAAGTAAACCCAGACCTGGCCCGGGAGAGGGACAGGGCCACCTTTGACCCAGAAGACTTGACAAATTTTCTGTATGGAGGACCGTCTGCCGTTAGGAGAAAGAGATATCTTCGTAAGTATTTTAAATGGCCGGTTACATGAATGTCTCCCTGAAGTCTTATCAACGGGTCGTAATTCATAACGCTTGTTTAAATGTTTGGCCTTGGAGGTCGGACTATCGGAGTTAAATGGGACATATGTAAATGTCTGCAGTAGAATGCATGCATGTACTTAGAAAATTTGAACGTACAATTATAGAACTTTTCAATGGTTTTGCTGACAGTAACTAAGTTAGTCTTTTTATCACTGGAATACTTATTTTCGGATTAACATTATGTCATGAATAGGAAAGGGAATAGCAAATAAAGACTGCATTTGAGCATGCGAAGACTTATGTACTACATAACTATTATGATAGTATTTGCTTAAGTTGAAGAGCGTAAATGATGCTTCTTTAAGCATTCAAGCTGATCAAGCGAGATTTAAAATTATAGTCAATCTGGTTTAAATTTAATTTTCAGTTGTAATTTTATTCTGAAGTCGTTTCTAGTAAAGTGTGGATGCCATAAAAATATTATACACTTTACCTCATTTTCAGAGAATATAGCGAAACAAGATCCCAATCTGAAGCGTGATAAACGATGGGCGTTCCAGACACGAGAAGAACGAGCCGACTCCGCGATGAGGAAGCACATGTACTTGGACAGACTACAAGACAATCTGGGAATCACCGACATCAAAGAAAAATACTACCTCCGAAAGTAATACAATTTTGATCATATAGATCTTTCAATGTATTTTATATAAACTGAAATATAATTGTAAATTGTTGTCGCATTCAATGTACACCAATGGCGGAAAACTGCCTTATGGACAATGTGTTTGATACGCATTATAGTAGAATACAGCGGTGGAGTCCGGGCAAGCAGAATTTTCTGTGTCATTAAAATAATGTATGTAGTGATTTATTTCCTCTTTTCCTCCGAAATCAGGACTCCTCGTCGTTTGTTATGAAAATTTAAATAAATTTGAACGTAATTCACTTGTCTATGCGATATGACTTTGCAGAAACCTCTCCTCCCCAAGATCCTTTCGAAATATTTCTTTTATTTTTGTGTAAGGAAATTACTATATTTAAGTAAAAACTTTAATTTTTTTAAAAATGTTCTGAATGAATAAAAAACAGCCAAACTTAGGAAGAATGAATCCTGGGTCTGCATTTTATACATGTAAATTGTAGCCCATATTTATGTATATTTTTGACCAAATTAGTCGCACGAGATTTTATTCCTTTGAAACATTGCAAAAATATTGTAATTTTAGTACGGCGGTTCCACATGAAGGACATCCCATGGGGCTCCATTACGGAATGATCATTCCAACAATAAAAAATCAAGCCTCAGAGGAACAACAGAAAAAATGGCTGCCGATGGCAGAAAGTCTGCGCATGATTGCAACATACGCTCAGACAGAACTGGGTCACGGTGAGCTCCTTGTCATTGTGTACGATTGAAACATGTTAAAACTTCCATCAGAAGTTAAATATTGCGATCTAAAGAATTTATGGTGAATGAAAAACAAGGAGTATATTGTGCGTCTAACTCCTGAGTTATTTTACTGTCTTTAAAATATACTATAGGAACATTTATACGTGGCCTTGAGACTACCGCTACGTATGATCCCCAGACAGAGGAGTTCATTGTAAACACCCCCACCCTGACAGCCACCAAATACTGGCCTGGTGCATGTAAGTTCTACAATGTTATTTCATTATTCAGTAGTGATACTCGGTAAAATTCAATCTATGTAATACATGTATTTTAATTTATGTTTTGAATCTTTTTGAGAACATTCTGAGCTCAATTAAACAAACTTTCCTCAGAGCAAACGATTTATTGTTTTACAAGTTTTACAAAAATACATATGTTTAAGCTAGTAGATCTAACCTGTCTTGGATAAAATTATCTTTGAACAACCGGGGACAGCAATTCGTATATGAATTTCATTAAAAACTTGGCGTTCTTAAATCATGATTGCACTTTTAGCCTATAATGCATTTTCATTTTATAGTGGGAAAGACTGTGAACCACTGTGTTGTTATGGCTCAGCTGTACACACAGGGGAAGAACCGTGGTATCCACATGTTCATGGTGCAGATTAGGGACATGGATACTCATGTACCATTACCAGGTGAATTCTCTAAAACAATTGATTCTTATATACAATGTATGTGTAAGATTCTTTAAAATCCGAAAATGGAGTCACTGTGTACAAAGCAGTGTAGCATGATTGGTTCTATGTCTTTCAGGTGTAGAAGTTGGGGATATTGGACCAAAGTTCGGATTTGAGGAAATTGACAACGGATTTTTAAGGCTGGATAACGTCCGCATTCCAAGAGAGAATATGCTCATGAAGTACTCTAAGGTGACGTAAATGTTGATTAACTTTCTTGTTATTTAAAATTCTTTTTTGTGGAAAAATTATGGGTAAGAAACCTTTATGTTCCTGAAATATCTATTTTGATGTTGTGATGAGGATCTCAACGTTAACTGTATCACTGATTAACATTAACAGGGGGAAATAAAAGCTAGTTTCATTTGAAATTTATAAATAAAAATCCATATATTTATGACTGTTTAATCATTTTTTGCAAAGGTCCTAAAAGATGGAACATACATAAAACCTCCAAGTGACAAGTTAGCTTACGGTTCTATGGTTCTGTTGCGGTGTTCCATTACAGCGTCAGTGGCAACATGCCTGTCAGAGGCCTGTGTTATAGCTATCCGTTATAGCGCAGTGCGGAGGCAAACAGAGATCAAACCAGGGTATATCATTACAAACCATTAGTTTACTGTATAAAGTATGGTTGATGAAACATGTTGCTTTTTTTGCGATCTGTATTTTTTACTGATTGATCTCTGTTCGTTATGTTTGCCTTTAACATTCAGGTAAAAGTTTTGCTTCCGAAGGCAACTTTTTGGCTTGTGGTGATTAAAGATTGATCTCGTTTACAGGGGAGAGGAAGCACAGATAATTGACTACCAAACCCAACAGTACAAACTCTTTCCTCTTTTAGCCACTTCATTTGCCATGCTTTTTGCAGGAGATTTCATATCTGATTTCTACAAAATTAAGTATCCAGATATTGCTGCAGGAAACTTCGAGTACCTACCCCAAGTAAATGATAAGATTTTAATATTATTAATGCAGTTTTTATACATTCAAATCAACTTTTAAGAAAATACATTAGGCAAACAAGGTGAACACAATGCCTATGGTTCAACAAATAAGAAAGTGATGTAAAAAAAAATTAGCCATTTCTTTAAAATTTCTAAAACTATAGCACTAATCATGTTTAGTTCGAAGGCAGTACTGTTCTTTAGTTTTGTTACTGCTGTCGTTTAAGTTGCACGCTATGAGCGCCGGACTGAAGGCTTTTAGCTCATGGATATGCTCTGAGGGGGTGGAGACATGTCGGCAGTGTTGTGGGGGGCACGGCTACTCTCATGCTAGTGGATTACCCAAAATATACGTAGATTGTACACCAGCTTGTACTTATGAGGGAGAAAATATGGTTCTTATGCTTCAAGTGGCAAGGTTTGTTTGATTTTATATGATTATTATCCTTATTTTGTATATTTTTCACAATAGTATTGAATAATTTAATTCTGTTTGTATTCTTGTCTCTCATTGGTTGATTTCCAAAAAGGAACGCATAACATTTTGTATAATCTGGTTTGGTATGGGGACACACCCCCTTGACAACCAGCTGAATCATCTGTATCCATCAATCCCCTCATTTCCAGTCCTTCGGATTCATGAAAAATTCCAGATTTAATGAATGTACCTTTGACTTCAAACAGTTGCTCGATCTTACCTCATGTAAACAAGAATCATGGCTGCTAGATCTATGTATCAATTTTTACCTCCCCTTGCTTCCCATCAATGATCACTTCCGTTACTACGGTTGTATTATTGCGCGGTAAATTTGAACTAATAAAAACAACACAATTTTACATCCCCAGTTGTTTAATTATTTTAAAATTGAATTATTAGGAATGACTCTAATTCTTGGCCAGATTATCGAGTATAATATGGTTTGGGTCAGTTTACGCTTTTTTATAATCCGCTTCGCGGATTATAAAGCGTAAACTGACCCAAACCATATACTCGATAATCTGGCCAAGAATTAGAGTCATTCCTTAATTAATGATAAATTACATTCATACAGTTACTTAAAATTAGTTATTCTTCAGTTCCTGAAATGCATTTTGTACACCAAAAATCCATGTACTGTTTTTAAAAACAGTGATGGAATTTCCATTAGGAATATGTTTTATAAAAGGGAGCATGGGCAATGATTACATGTATTAGTCCTTATTTTTTAGTTTACGCTTCTATTTCAGGTTTCTGATGAAACAGTATGCCAACATGATGCAAGGACAACCTCTACCAACTCTTGCACAATGTCTAGGGAGTGACCTCTCCAAACAGTCGTGCATGACGGAAGAGGTAGCGTTCAAATGTCTAGTTTTGGCCTACAATCACAGGGTTACAAGGTGAGGTGTATGAATCAATTTTTATTATCCCGTTTCTCTGAAAATTTGTGCATTTCTTTTGCAAGAATTACAAAAAATATTGAAAATTCGTTTTTTTTTTTGCTTAAAATGTTCGTTCTTATAAAATAATAGGCTAGTATCAGATGCTGCCAACAATATTCAGAACTTGGTCAATAAGGGCCAAAGTCAGCAGGAAGCATGGAATTCTTCAACAGTTCGTCTATTCTGGGCCAGTAGGGTAAAAATAGGAGGATAAGTAACCTCTTTTAACCACTCTTCAAGATATATGATATTAAACCTGCATTTCCAGATGCGGTGTCAAAAAAATATTTGCTTACAACTTTATATACATTGTTTTACAGGCATTTTGTCATGCGTTTGTCGTTGAAAATTTTGTGAAGATTCTGTCTGAGAGATATTTAGATGACAAATCCAAAAATGTGATGATGTCAGTATGTAAGCTTTATGCTGTTTATGGAATTGTATCAAACCTTGGAGAATTTATCCAGGTATTCCTTATATTCATTTATTCAGACATCTCTTTATGAGTGAAAAAATAAATCTAAATATTCCCTTAAACATTAAAGTCGTAATAGCTTAACCCCTTCTCTACCGCATCGGTCAATATGACCGATAGCGCGTTAAAACACGACATCGCGATAACAGGACCTCTGTATATTTTTAATAATAGCATTAAGGTATATAAATTATATATCATCTTTTAGGAAATTTTCTCTACTTTCAGACCCTGTAAAAATTTCGAGCCTTATTAATCGGTAATGAATAGATTTTACGTTTTGAAGACATTCATGACTTTTTGAAAATGACGCAATTTTGCAAAGCAAGGACGAATATCCTGACGATAGGTATATTTTTTCCTGATTAAATCATTTAAATAAAATTAATATATTTAAAAAGGATATTTTCTCTGCTTTTAAAATATGTAAAAATTATTGCTTTTACTTTTAAATATTTTGTAAAAACAAGAATTTTCTTCCACGCATGTGATTTTTCTGTGTTTTATTCGTAGTATTAAAATTAAATTAAACCAGTTTTACCTTTATTTCTGTGTTGAAATAGGGAAAACAAAATACAGCTGGTAAAAGTAGAGAAAATTTCCATTTCAACAAGTCTTCACTGGTCTCTTTATTTTCGGTATTTTCTGAATTACCATAGTTTGAATTTTGAACCTCCGCGTAATTTTTGTACACTGTAAAAACTGCGTTTAGAAAATAAACACATCCAGTACGTGTTTAGACCTAAACATGTTTAAGATTGTGTTTAACGGCTAAACATTTATATCTAAGCATGTATTATATCTAAACGTGTTTAGATTTAAGACGTGTTTAGATTTTAAGTGTTTAGAAATTGAACACTTTCTGGGACAAACAGAGTTATCTTCCCGGAAATGACGCGTAATATTTTTGAACGTTAATAGAGCGGTTATCGAAACAAAGAAATTCCAGTGTAAGCAAAAGTAGATGGATTAAAGGAAGCGAATCATAACCAAAGTGATAACCACGGAGGGATTGTGAAATGCAGTTGAAAGGCAACAATTCTACAATAAAAGGTCTGTTTACTTTTGTATTTTACATCAATTGACTAGAATGAGAAACGTTGCAATAACACAATTGTAGATCAAGATTTCCTTCTTTTATTGTTGCATTTCTGAAAGCTAGAAAGGAGTTTATATTATAGAATGTCATTGAAAATATCTATATCCGTATCTGTATCATTAAATGGATTTCAATAAAGGTTGCATAATATTAGTTATTTTAGCTATCAGTCAGCAAGGGGCATATTTTTGTTTAATTTCATTTCTTTATTACAGGATATGGTCCAGATTGAAGCAAAAATACACGTCTCAGAGTAGTGGTGTCATTTCCAAGTCCACGCAATTGTTGGTACATCTTCAGGATTTCTTGCATTTAAGAGGAAACTGAATTTTGTGAAGTATACTGTTCGGTATATTTTTCAACAACTCTAAAACATTCGTATGATGGGAACGGATTCCTTCCTGGCAGTTATGGACGAAAACATATGATCGTGTGTTTCTAGTGAAAGACTTACAGGAAAATAATAAGCTTGATTAATTTTTGTTACAGACTTGAGGAATAAGTGCATGTTTGATGAGCTGATTAATATTGACATGAGCCAAAATAAATTTTCAGTTTTTAATCGATATGTATTTTGAATTTAAAATTCTTCAAAATAAATCTATGTTTGAATGTTCAATAATGTTATGGTATTTCTAGGAAACTTATTTAATAATGTTTTTCTTTAAAAAAAATATGCTTTCCTGCGATAGTTTATAATTTAAACCATTCTGTTGGATCTAATGTGGTGGAACTAAACATGTTTAGCAACTTAACACTTAAATATTGATGTGTTTAGAAATGAGACGCGTTTAGGGCTAAACGTGTAAAAAAAGTGAAACAAAAAATGTGTTTAGATATAAGTGTTTAGGGGTTAAACATGTTTAGCAACTAAACACATGAAGTCTAACGTGTTTAGAAATGAGACACGTTTAGAGCTAAACGTGTAAAAAAAGTGATACAAAAAATGTGTTTAGATTTGTGTTTAGATTCTAAACACTGTTTTTACAGTGTAGAAAATTTGAATGTAGTCAATATTTAACGTCAAGGTCGTTTTCGTTGCGCCTCATTCGGAACAACATGTTTAGTACTATTATATTTAATTAAATATTTTTATTTAAATAGATGCATTATTTTTAAAAAATGGTTTAAAATAACAGTAATTATCTTTACACCTTTAGAGAAATATAGTACGTATGTATTTTTGTTTATTTATGCAATGTGCAATAAGTTCATTCAGTGTTGATAAAAAAAAAATGTTTGATTCCTAAAGGTCTACGTCAAAAAAATCAGATTTATTGCTATTTGCTTTAAAATATATTCTTAATATAAAATACAATTTAACATATACTGACATGAAATTTAAAAAACTTTGAAACACAATGACTTAATACAAAATCTCGCATTTACACGACTCATTACGGTATGAGTTGATATAATAATTATTCGAGATTAACACGTGTTTCCGCTGTAGCAGTAAACAACAACAGCATGGATTTTCATGATTATTTTACGATGGAGAACACGTCAGTTCATCAGATATGACGGGTCTTTTCTTTGGCATTAGATGTGAGTAAGTATTGATTGAAAAGTTTAAAAGTATTTTAGAGTACATTGACTGAAATGAAAAGACATTATAGACTACCAAGGACCTATATACTATAGTAGTAGACTGGACCCTGGCTACACATGTACATGTGATATGAAGCCGTTCGCTGGTTTGACATCGTCGGTAACCCAAAAATGATACTTTTCGGTTCTTTCAACGATCACAAAAACTTTTTTTTTCCGATGACAAAATTGTTTACAATACAATGTCACTGTTTCCTCAATATGGAATCTGAATACTGTGTTGACTGATCAATAAAATATTTTTGTTCGATGTACTCCGTCCCCTCCGATCCACATTTTCAAGATGGGTAGGTAGGTGGTTAGTTTTCGTGTGGTTTACACTGCTGAAAAATTGATAACTGTCATAAAATCACAGATTTCTTAGCAGTACACATTTGACATGTTTGTTAGCTACACAAGTTTATTGTTATAAAAACTTTCAGTCAAAAAGCATCCTATAGAAATTATACATCTTTGCTTTAAAATGAAACAATTTTAGTAAATTTAAAAAGAAAAATAAAAGTTTACAGTGCTGAAAAAATTATTGGCGTGGATAAGTATGATTGCTTCTCATTGTGTTGAACTGTTACCAATCAGTTATCCTGTTGGCCATAACTGACCTCCTTTATAATTTCATTCAAGAAATAACTGTGTGGTCACTCATCAATAGCCCCTCAAACTTTAAAAAATTTGAGTACAAAGTCTCTCAAGAAGACGCAATTTGGTGAGTGATTTTTACATGCATTGTATTCAGAAGAGTCCAAAGTTTAATATTTCCACTGCAACAAGGTGCAACTTTTTGCACATGCTGAAAAAATAAAACATTTGAGAAAAAATTGTGATAAAATAGCTTAATTAAGCTATTCTGAATAGCTTAATAAAGCTATATAGCTAAATCAAGCTATATAGCTTAATCAAGACATTGTGCCGGACCTGTCAGAGTACATCAAACAAATCAATATTTGTATTGTGGGCCTGAACATCCAAACCGTGTTTTGCGATGATGGATTCGAATAAGTTTGACTTATTTTTGTGTTGTTTTTGAAGTGGGTAAGTTTTCTTGACCACCTCTAAGTACATTCAAAGAAAAATGAAACATGACATAAATAACACAAATACATAAATTTTTTTAGCACGTGTTGGTACCATTTAGGCTTCAGAACTTTCATCTATGAAGACCCACTTGCTAATCCCACCAATGGCCACCATGCACAGAAAAGACCATGATGTGGAGGACATAGGTGCTTAGTTATTAGTAAGTCAATTTTATTGCAGTCAAAATTCCTCATTGCCACTGGACGGCTATTAGTCAACACTCCCAGGTACATGAGTAGAGGGACTGGCGCAGTGGTTAGAGCCTCTGCCCTATAGTCACGAAGTAAGGAGTTGATCCTTACATCGCATGTTCGAATCTTACTATGAGACATGGAGACCTGTTCTTCTGATGAGACACTATAAAAATATCTTATCTTATATTATACTTATACTTATATAACCCAATCAAGGTCCCTTGTCGCAGTAGGTGCTGGCATGAAAAAGATCCCTCACAGCTCAATAGCTGTAAGTGCCGAGAATAGAACAAAATTTGCATCTGTCCACCGACAAGTGGTGGCGTCTCCATCTGAGAGAGAAATTCTTGAGAGAGACATTTAATAACATACAAACAAGCCCATATATATAAACACCTTGTCCCAGGGATTTTTCTCTGAAGTAACAGTTTTCAGTCCAACATGCCCTTTCTCTTAACAACCCTGACAACAGAAACTAAAAAAAGGATACTTCATGCATTTGATAAAATTAATGGTTAATTATGCTATTTTTTAAAATTTATAATTGACTAACCTTGATTGTTTAGTATAAGGCTTGCAATATTTCAGTCATAATACATTGACTTCCCCAAACCATTTAATATGCTTTATAAAGACTTTTTAACAATATTACAAAAGGAAAGTTATATCAATGTGCCAATTGTAGATTTCATTATAAACTGAATTATCTGATTAAAACTACATATTCGATTAGAAAAGCTTTTTCAAAACTTTTTTAAAAAATTTGTTACAGGAGTCGGGACAGAATACATTTAGAAACTGATCATGCCTCGGTCAAATCAAAGGAGTTCCCTCGGTCTTTCAGAGAGATGGCAGAGAGTTCATTCAACATGAAGATGATGTGCACATAATGTAATCTGGAATATAAAGTTAGAGATAAAAACCTGCAAACTTACTAGCAAATAAGCCTATCTGCTTGTTAATTATTCTTTGCCGGATACTTCACTTTTAGGAATGCTCTTTATTTCTATCAATGATGCAAGTGGTTATTCAAGATCATGTCACTTGATATAAGGAATTCTGACTTTTGACAGCATAAGTCAAGGGTTTGTTAGAAGAGTAGCAAATACTAAAGAAATCCTTGGATACTGAAATTCAGTCATTGTATGCCACATAAACTGGATGAGTGAAAAATTGTAGCTGAAGTTCTGTGCTTGTCCATCTTTGCTGTTTTTTCATATGCTTATAAAATGACAAAAGTTGTTTTAACAAGTGACCCAGTAAAGACTTGAAAATGTAAAATAATTCTTGTAAGAAAAGAAAAATTGTAAATGTTTTCTTATACAATGTATTCTAGATGACAAAGAATGTGTTTGACTAAGTTTTTGAAAATGACAAAATAAGTTCTCTTTTGTGTAATTAAAAAATGATACTGGTTGCAATACATTTTTACCTTTATATGATTTTAATAGTATTTGTCACTAAGATTGAAATACTTGAGAACACATCTTACAAATTTTGTTCCAGTTTACTTAAGTCAGAGATATATTTTTTGAATGACAACCAAGATTTGAAAAAAAAAAAAGAAAAAACAAAGTGAAACAAAACTATTCACTTTTGTGATATTTCTGTTGATTTTGTTGTTTACAATTTTATGTGTCAGTTATTGGACAATATGTCCATAATAATTGCAGCATTTCAAATTTGATATATACTTACAATTTAAGGCAGATATCTGTACTGATATGACCTTGACCCCCAAAGAACAGAAATTTCAGGGTCAATACTTAAGACAATTATTTGTTGGATGTTTTATACATTATTTTTGACCTTATATCTTACAAACGATATCATGGAAAACTGTCTAGAATAAGAAGTAAGAAACCTATAAAGCCAAAAAATTGAATATTGTTGTTGCTTAGCAACCATTTAAAGGTCATTTAACACAAATTTGAACAAAAATAATATGTGGATATTGCAATACAGTATGATGCCTTCTAAAGAGTAAATTCAGAATTTTCCTCTTTAGCATCCATTGTTACAAATTTTAGCAAGAAAGATGAAAAGTTTTGGGAAAAATTTCTAAAATTATGCACTTATTTGACCTTTGACCTCCAAAAAAAGTGAATCTGATGAGGTCAAACTTTAAGACAATTATCTGATGTATATTATTTCAGTATCATTACCCCACATTTGACTTTACAATGTAATGGAATGCATAAATGTGTGTGAGATGAGCAAAAAACAAGAAATACTGCCTGAAAATTGAAAAATACTCTGTTGCTTAGCAACCTCTTTGAAGTCATTATTGCAGAATTGAAAAAAAAGTTTATGTGATTAATGTAGTACAGGATAATGCCCTTTTGTGGGTTTATTCTGAATTTCCTATTTCAATGTGTATCACTGTTAATTTTTAACTTGAAAATTAAAATGTGTCAAAAAACGCAATAAAATTCTGCACTAATTTGACCTTTGACCTCAATTTCCACTAGCAAGGTCAGTCGTGAGGTACCAGCATATTTATGAAATATCATCTCCAGAAAATTCCCTACAAAATGGTATACATTATGCCTAGATTACTCTTTGAATAAAAAAGTTATAAATTGATTTATAAGGATATGTCAAAAGGTTTGCAAAAACGCTGAAAATGTGCCGGTAGAGAAAGGGTTAAAATACATCAATCGTACAGAATACTAGTATCATTCATCCTGAAATTTTCTCAGGGGAAACAAATTAACGTAAATATCATAATTTTTCAAATAAAAAAAACATCTACATGTATTTTTTTTAACTCTTCATCAATATAATCTGTGATGGATTACAATACAACTTGTTCCTGCATGTATGTGCTCTGAGATCATATTCTGTATACATCTTTCTTTTTCTTTCTCCATTTTTAGCTCTACTGGTCAGAGACCAGAAGAGCTTATGCGATAGTAATGCGTCCGTCGTCCGTCCGTCTGTCTGTCTGTCTGTCTGTCTGTCCGTCTGTCTGTCCGTCTGTCTGTAAACAATTTTTAAAACGCTACTCCTCCTACAATTTTAGTCTGATTTCAATATTACTTGGCACACAAGTAGACTACACTAAGATACATAGAATAGTGCATCGGTTTTTGATTTCGGTGATCGGTGTTGCCATGGTTACTAAAAATAGAATTTTCTGTGAAATTCCTTTAAAACACTACTCCTTCCACAGTTTTGGTCTGATTTCAATATTACTTGGCACACAAGTAGATTACACTAGGATACATAGAATAGTGCATCGGTTTTTAATTTCGATGAACAGTGTTGCCATGGTTACTAAAAATAGAATTTTCTGTGAAATTCCTTTAAAACGCTACTCCTTCTACAATTTTAGTCTGATTTCAATATAACTTGGCACACAAGTAGACTACACTAAGATACATAGAATAGTGCATTGGTTTTTGATTTCGATGAACGGTGTTGCCATGGTTACTAAAAATAGAATTTTCTGTGAAATTCCTTTAAAACGCTACTCCTTCTACAGTTTTGGTCTGATTTCAATATAACTTGGCACACAAGTATACTACACTAAGATACATAGAATAGTGCATCGGTTTTTGATTTCGATGAACGGTGTTGCCATGGTTACTAAAAATAGAATTTTCTGTAAATTCCTTTAAAAAGCTACTCCTTCTACAGTTTTGGTCTGATTTCAATATAACTTGGCACACAAGTAGACTACACTAGGATACATAGAATAGTGCATCGGTTTTTGATTTCGATGAACGGTGTTGCCATGGTTACTAAAAATAGAATTTTCTGTGAAATTCCTTTAAAACGCTACTCCTTCTACAGTTTTGGTCTGATTTCAATATAACCTGGCACACAAGTAGACTACACTAAGATGCATAGAATAGTGCATCGGTTTTTGATTTCGATGAACGGTGTTGCCATGGTTACTAAAAATAGAATTTTCTGTAAATTCCTTTAAAAAGCTACTCCTTCTACAGTTTTGGTCTGATTTCAATATAACTTGGCACACAAGTAGACTACACTAGGATACATAGAATAGTGCATCGGTTTTTGATTTCGATGAACGGTGTTGCCATGGTTACTAAAAATAGAATTTTCTGTGAAATTCCTTTAAAACGCTACTCCTTCTACAGTTTTGGTCTGATTTCAATATAACCTGGCACACAAGTAGACTACACTAAGATGCATAGAATAGTGCATTGGTTTTTGATTTCGATGAACGGTGTTGCCATGGTTACTAAAAATAGAATTTTCTGTGAAATTCCTTTAAAACGCTACTCCTTCTACCGTTTTAGTTTGATTTCAAAATAAGTTGGCACACAAGTAGACTACACAGAGATACATAAAACAGTGCAATGGTTTTTGATAAGTACAAACCAGTAGAGCTACAGTCTCGACAGAGACTTCTGGTTTTGACGGCTGAATTGGATATAAGAAAACGAATTCAATGGAAGCAAACTTGAACACTTTACATTCGTTTCAGGATGGGTTTTTCAGTTCTGATCAAGTTAAAATTTTGCAAAACAAGCTGACGTCATTATTAGCAGAGATAAGACCCAATGCAGTGGCTTTAGTGGACGCGTTCGATTATCCAGACTCGGTACTTGACAGTTGTCTGGGGCGATATGATGGGCAAGTGTATCAGGCCCTGTATGAGTATGCCAAAGAATCCCCGCTGAATGAAAAAGAGGTATATTTGTTAATAAAATTTTGTCCCTTATTGACAGAATTGTTAATTTTTTTTCAGATTTCATCTTGTTAAAAAAGATTTATTTTTCATTGATATACATGTACATTTGATTTTTATTGTAGGTATTAGATTCTTACTACAAATATATTAAGCCAGCTCAAACAATACCAGGAACAGATGCACTTTCATCACGCTTATAAGTTGTGATTTTTTTGTTTTGTGTAAATTGGAGAACAAATTTTGTAAAAATTATCGCCTTATACTTCAATAAAATTTGATGGATTTATTTTCTGTGAAAGTTTACTAACAAACTGCTATAAGAACAGTTTATCAAGGTTGTTAACATAGATTGTTATACTGGTTATATGTATTGTCATGTTGCAGAGTTTATTTGATAAAATTAAATAAGTCAGAAAGGACAGTATTCTTATTATTGAAGTTTCATGATATAATTTTGTATACCCTAAATAACATGTGTGATATTTTTGTGTAATAAAGTTTTTCTTTATATTTTGATTTACGATGTTTAAAATGGCCAGATTAATCAAAATAATGCTTTTCTTGCATTTGTTTCTGTATTTGTATTCTGTATTCTGTATTTGAAACTTATTTTATATGAAATATAGGAAGAATAGTATTCAAGCTAAAACGTTCATTAAACAATAAAAAATAGGAACAGAGCAAATACGGACCTCTAAAACATCAGAGATGAGATAAGGTGCCATGGAGGAGTAAGCATCCCCTGCCGACCGGTCACATCCGTCTTGTGCTCCTTGTCATGAACGGGAAAATCCGTCGACATGTCAGTATGTAAATAATTATGGCGTAACAATTAGTATGAAAAAAACGTCAGTCAGCATTTGACCCAACGATAAATTGCATTTGCTGACAAGGTCATCGATCGACCACAAAAATTACGAAATGGTGACTTTAACAGGGACTGTAAATATTGTTGTTTCACAACTTGCAATTGTTTGTCAATATACCTCGTTTTACAATTTTACACTTGGAGAGCACGCTCTTGCGTATCGTATCAATTGAGAGATATAAACTTCGTATGCAGTTGGTTTAAGTATATTGCTGCATGATTAAGGGAAGTTGACGATTAAAAAGTTGAAGTCATCACGTTTATCATAAAGCTTGGCTTTTACATTACTTTTACCTTCTTTCTCAAGTAAAATTTCCAATGTAAATATGAAACAGATGTGGTATTTTTTTTATCTCAAACTCATCGGGATATATCGTATCGACAAACTCTCTCTCTCTCTCTCTCTCTCTCTCTCTCAGTTCAAAGAATGTTGAAACATACTGAGAGGTTTTAAGTAAAAATTGTTGCATGGAAATATTTCAATTTCAAGCTTCATTTTGAGACCTTTTTAATTAAATTATAAATTAAGGAGTTATCCTTCCTGGCTGAGGTTCAGAGTACCTTAAAAAGGTGATTTCGGCCTTTCTTCAATTTTGGTCAAGCGATCGATTCTTGACATGCATTCATTTTATGTGGATCTATTTATTTCTACATTTTTAGATAAAGTGTGTTAAAAGAATAGATAAAAGCAAATATGTTAATTTTTGTAATTATTTTTTCTCCAGAAAACACGTTTACAAAAAGCTGTATGTGTGAATCTTAGTATAATTGCCAAATGTATATTTCTTTCCTATATATTTTACAAAAGAGTCAGCGAGGTTTATCCGTATATTATTTATTTATGAGAAGTAGGAAGCGAAAACGGAAGTTAGGAGTCTTCACGAGATCGTACTTTGGGCTATGCGCAATTAATCTTGTTTTTGTTTATGTACATGAGATGAAATCAAACTGTTGTTTCTAGTACGATTTACTGAAAATCGAACAGAAAATAGCTCGTTGCTGTAGGGACTTCATGAAGAAGGACTTGTTCTAACAGGAACTACATTGCACAAGGTTTCAGAAGAAATATATTATGATTACAAGTTATCTCATAAGGTAAATATTGATTGATTTTTAATAAAAAGTTGTATACATGCAAGTTATAATTCATATTGTCAATATCTATACTTAAGTATTCAATTTCGCTAAAATGCATATAATTTATATGTATACAAAATATTCAAAAAATGTTAATTTTGAAGGTTGTTTATAAAAAAAATGAAAAAAATCTTTAAGGTATGAAGAACAAATTTATAAAGATCGCCCATTGATCAAATCGAAAGTATATCTGCATATAAACTACTTGATTCCAGGAATCCAATTTTATAGAGATATGGTCAAATTTAATCTTTAATCTGTTGGTAATGAAATCATGTCAGTGTAAGAAAAATATAACAGTGAGTAATAATTGCCTTTTGAAATCTATGTACCTGACAGGAATACTCATTGCATTTATACATCTATATACTAACAAATTGAAAATACCAATTAAGTATGGCACGTAAGTTGTGTCAAAACTATCTTACACACAACAACTTTGTATGGCTTGATTTAATATAAATGTTGCCTTCAAGTCCTCATTTAGTTACTAGTATATCGACCATGTTTTAACAACTATTACTTCCATTCTAATGTCGGCTCTATGATAGATCCCCGTGAACTGGAAAAAAACACTGAAGTTTCTGAGACATCTTCCTATTTGGATGTTTTACTAAATTTTAAAATTATAATCAACATGATCAACTAACTACTAAACTGTATGACAAACAAGATTCCGTCAACTTTGAAATAAATCAAATATAAAGCAGCAATTTCCACATGAAATGTTTTACTCGTATACAAAATTAAACTAAATTTGTTAGTTACCATACATCAAAAGGCGACCCTTCACTTGCGTGACATGCTTTTTCTTTTATCCCTCGAAAGTGCTCATCTCCTAAATTACACTTGGATCCTCAATTTTATAAAAAAAAAAAGCCTCCGTTTTCCTCTGATTGATCGGTCTTATACAACTTGTTCTAAAAATAAAGTCAACATTTCCTCCAAATGATTTAAATACTCGTAATTTAAAATCAGAAGTTCAAAAACTGTACAGTTTCCACAAATGTATTTGAATACTGGCGTAAACTCTAAAATTTATTTTTATAGAATACTTTACCATGGGTAAATAAACGCTTCAACAAAATGTCTGAAAAAAGTACACAGAAATCGATACCAAATGATGAGGTCAGATCTTCAAAGGCAGCAGAAAAAGAAGAAGTAAGGGCAAAAGACTCCAATTCTGCTTCTATTCAAGCAGATGATTCTATAAAGTCCGAAAAAGGAGAGGATTCTGCTTTCCTTAACCAAAGGCAAGGGTTTCTTGGATCACTTGAAGAGAACTGCACATCACGGGTAAAGCATACACAGAAAACGTTTAATTTTATAAAAATGACAAAAAGATGAGTAGTATATAAGATTTAGCTGAAAATGTCCGCAAAGAGAAAAACAAACTTAAGAATTAGTGCCGAGCTTGCTCATCTTTCTCGAGTGACTTTTTCACCTTATTTAATGTAAGTAAATTTAATAGGGATAGAAATAAGAGCCAATTACGTGACATTAACCTTTAAAAACAGAAAGAAAAACATTTCATACAGATTGATGTTTGCATTCCAATATTTTACCATAAAACTCTGAAGGAAAAGTATGAAAGCCAATTGTTCCTCAGGTTTACGCAATGTTTATATAACGTTTATAATATTAATGACGTTGGTGTACGTATACAAATGTTAACTAACTGAATATTTCTTGTTTTATTCGAGTTTCATAGTAAACAGAAATTAAACATAAAATTTACAAAGAAAAAACATCTGAATAATCTTAAATATTTATCAATGATTTATATGCATATATCATCTTATTATATATCAAAGAACAAAAATCTGGAAGCCGCACTACAAGAAATGAAACAGAGCCTACGAGAAGAGTTTGATTGTATTGTTCAAGAATCATTACAGAATATAAAGGTAAAAATATACGTATTTGCAGTTTAATAACCTTTGAATGGGCTATGTAACTATAAACATGCCCTTGAAATACTCTTAATTTGTGTTATAGGAGGAAATTAATGAAATGTTCAAAAAAGAGAGGAAAAAGATTCAGAAAACAATACAAACTGCTTTACAGGTAAGCTACATTCTTGGAATGTATTTTGTTTCAATAGGTATAGGGTGCGTTCACAGTTCTGCCTTTGGTAGACAAAAGTTGCTGTTGGTAAAATTAATTACCATTGGCATGTCACTGGTACCAATGTTTTTTGCCAAAGGTATATTTTTCTGCAGACAGTCTAGAGTGTGGTTAATGTTGGTAAATGACGTCACAGCTAGTTATCGACATGGCAACAAGCTAGAAAGACTTGGATCCCGGATTCACAATGATATAAACAATTTTTTCTTTAAACCTTTTTAACAAATCATGCCAAAATCACATAAAAATCATATCAAACACTTAAATTCATGATTTTGAAGTACGATTTAGAACATCATCCATTAAATGGATTATATAAAACTCATAGATATGGCAACTAATTAAAGAAGTGTGATCCTGATGTGGTTTGTTTCTCGGCTACGAATCTGCTATGATTTTCTTGCTATTCTGACATGTGCTAATAACTTAGAAAACAAAGAAATCTGTAATTCAGTATTACCAATGTTTCCACTGGACTACCATTGGTAACATTGGTAAAATCGTTACATTTGTATGCCAATATCCGTTCAGGGTTTATTGGTACAGTTGGTACCATTGTCAAATTATTACACCAATGGTATATTGAAAGTTGGTACTAACGGTAGAACTGTGAAAGCACCCAATGATGGCATATATCATTTTTAAGTTAACATTTTTAAATTATACACATATGTCATAATTATCAACTAATAATGTTATGTTCTAAACATAGTTTACAGACTGTTATACGATACATATTATACGTAATATACCAGGACTTATGTTCTTAACTTGCTGCAAATATATTTTTAATTTCTTGCTATGATATATTATACTATGCAAACATTACAAGTCCTGTATATATATATAGGATGTTTGGTACTGCCTATCTGTGATTTTTAAAATTCTATTTTTCTAAAAATAATAATTTTTCGTAGGAGGAAAAGGGTCGTATAATTGACCTTGTACAGCTTGTCCAGGACGCTGTATCAGAAGATAGACAACAAAGTGTACAACGACAATCAGAACTACCGGTGAATAAGTGTATAAGCTAATTATTAAAAGAATGTGGTCAAAGAGAAAGAAAAAAATTAAAACATTTTAAATTTAGTCTATTTGAAAAAAAAATTGAGATAAAAGGGTTCAAAAAAATTATAAGCTGAAATTAATATTGTTAATATGTTTATAAAATATGGGTTTGAATTGATATTGATGCAATTACTTTTAACTGAAACATGATTTCATTTTATGAAAGATTAATTCTTCCTTTACTGATTATACCCGGTATTATTTTACAGAAATGAAACATATAAATCGTCGTTTCTAGGGAGAAAAACCCGGACATATGAGTCAAATGATGTACCCAAATGTTGCAAGTTATTTTTCACCCACCATGCCCCAAGCACAGCCAGCTTATTATGTGTCTAACAGTATGCCAAGATTGAATTTAACCATTCCAAGAACAGTTCCTATGCCTGAAAACGGTATGTTTTCTCTAGTAAATAATAAACGAGGTATGTATTATGGTAAGCAAAGCCCCGAGTCTATCAAAGCTATTATTTATCTAAACTGTATTTTATCAATCATTCAAAGTGAAATAGTATTTAAGACATTTCATCTAAAAGATACTAGTACTTACTAAAAATGTCCTTACATCCTGATCAGAGCATAATGTATTGTCTAGATGTAAGAAACTTCATTAGTTAATTAATACACAATTGGTAATCAACGACGAAAATGGAAATATAAATTATCTATTTAAATAAAAAGATATAGATCGTAAACAATTTGTTGGAAATTGGATTCCATTTTAAATCTTGACTAGTAAAATTCGGAACAAACTAGTAGCTTTAGATAAAATAAAAGGTCTTTATCAAGATTTTTCTCTTTATTAACTTTACAACCTATTAAGAAATTTGATCATCTTTCCTTTAACAGAGATAACAAAGACACGTTCTAGTGTAGAATATCATTCCATCAATAGTCAATCAGGAACATCAGCCAATCAGCAAAACAGGTTTATCAGCCAACAGATGCCTGGACAATCACAAACTTACCAATCTTGTGTATCAGTTAAGCCCCAGGTGAGCTATAGACGTTATAATAACCATATAGAGGCGCAGCATCATACATGTGTACGAGTATATACATGCCTTATTAGGAATGCAATAGATGTCAAAACTGCTTTAGGGGACGACCATTTGATTCTGCGGGGGGGCTGGCAGATTTTGGAAATAAATAATCTGTCCCTGAAAATTTTGAAAATAAATAATCTGTCCTCCACTACAAACAAAATAAATAATCTGACCTTGACTTATGATATTTAATGTGAAACATACCTTTTTTATTTACGTGTAATTAAATCTCAAAAATCTTCAATTCAAAAAATTTTTTGGCTCGCTTCGCTCGCCATTTTAGAACCAAATAGTATTTAAAATCAGATTACCAGACTGGATACTTGTAGTCAGTTTATCAACATGGCAATGTGCACTTAGTAGGTGTGACGAATCACTTTAAATACAAGTCAATTCTTATACACAGCAAAAGAAAAATTTTCTTGTCAAAGAATTACACTTCCCTGATAAGTTAACATAAAATATACACTGGCGGATTTAAGGGGGACGTACATGTGTACGACCCCTCCCCTAAAATTTCAAAGTATGATACGAATAATAATGCCATACTTTGGGATAATACCAATATTTTTGTGCCTAGTTTCACTCTTAAAATACACAAAAACCCAAGAGCTTTAGGGGGCTTCGCCCCCTGGGCCCTTTTCATTCAGAATATAATATGACTAGTATTAACAATGTCATATTTTGGTACATAACTAACCAATTCCTACACAACTGTGTCTTGCTGTACTCTTATATACAGAAAAACCCAAGAGCTTCTGAGTGAGGCGGCTTCGCCCCCAGAACCCCCTTCATTCAAACTATGATTTGACCAGTATTAATTATGTCATACTTTGGTTCATAATAACCAATACCACTATATAAGTGGCCGGTTTTACTCTTAAAATACACGAAAACCCTAGAGCTTCGAGGGGGGGGGGGTTACTCCATTGGCCTCCACAAGGGCTTCGCCAAGAACCAACTGGGGGCCTTACGGCAGCCCCAGACCTCTTGCCTAAACGAAGTTATACACGCCTCATCCCCAAATTCTGTATTCGCCAGTGTTATATAAATGATTAGTATTTGAATCAATTGATCAAGATACCGTAAGGCAAAGAAGAAAATAAATAATCTGTCCTTGATAATCTTGAAAATAAATAATCTGTCCTCGACAGGCATGAAAATAAATAATCCGTCTCAAAAAAATTTGCCAGCCCCCCCCCCCCCCCCCCAGGATCAAATGGTCGTCCCCTTAGTGCTGTAAGGAGTTTAATATTACAGGAAATTAAAGATTTCAAGTTAATACAGTAATTCCTTTTATTGTTTACATTTTGAAAAGGCATCACATGCTGCAATTTACAAAGACAAACAACCACTTACTGCCACCATGTTGGCAACAATGCCGCCCCAGGAACAAAAACAGGCGTTGGGAGAATGTCTGTACCCTCTCATATCTCATATGTTCCCAGACGTGGCCGGCAAGCTTACAGGCATGTTACTGGAGATCGACAACTCCGAGCTGTTATACATGTTGGAATCTCAAGAGTCACTGGAAGCTAAGGTGACACTTATTCAAATAGCTTCATCTCTATTAGAATTAATAAAGTAAATGCAGATTGATTTTATATCCATACTTTCTTTTAAAAACATTAAAGGATGATATTTCCACAATAAATACTGTACTTGGTACTTGCAATTGAGTGCATTCATGTGAAAGTATAATTACAGGTATATTAGAGATGGCAATTACAGTCATGTACTGTACAGTAACTGTTACATGTTTATCACTGGTAGCCAAGTTTTTTTTAACTAGTAGAGAAATGGAATATGTAGCATATGGAGATAACGAACAGTATTCAAGATCAAAAGTCCATAAAACAAAACAAAATAGGAGCAGGGCAAACACGGACCTCTAAACATCAGAGGTGGGATCAGGTACCATGGAGGAGTGAGCATTCCCCCTGCCGACCAGTCACACCCGCTGTGTGCTCCTTGTCATGATCGGGAAATGAAGGAAAAATCCGTTGTCAACTCAGTGTATAAACAATGGACTAATAATTAGTATGAAAAACGTCAGTCAGCAGATAGCAAACAATATGCAAGCTCAAAATTCAATAAAAATAATAAGGGCAGACCAAACACTGACCTCCAAAAAAATCAGAGGGGGGATCAAGTGGACACGGTTTTTGTATCGACGAAAAGGTTACTTATTCATTGTAATTCCTGTTTGTGCCATTTTATACAAGACAATCGGTCAATTAAACCTAAAAATCGATAAAAAAAAGTTATCAATAGCTTACTAAATAAAATTAATATTAACTGTTGTCAACTATCATAATATAGCTATACGAGTATGTAAATTTTAGAGAAAAGTTTTCACAATTTTTTGCTGTTTGCCACGTTTTGATGAAAAATGGATTCAAGCCAAGCTGAAATTGCAAATCGTGTATAATTTTCTTTCAGACATGTTTTTCTGATTTCAAATTCTTTACAATCAAGGTCCTCAGTCTACTGTCCTATAAGACATATATTTTGATTTTACATTTTCTTTTTAGGTCAAAGAAGCTGTTGCGGTGTTACAAAGTCACAGTGTTAAAGCATCCACCACCCATGTCTAGAGTGCAATTGATATTTAGCATTGAAAAAAGTGTGTAAATTTCATTAATTATTTTTACAACATTATACAAAACTATATTACAGCAATGTCTGTTTATTCTCAGTTAAACATAATTTTCTTTTTAAATGCATTCACATTTAATACTGTTTGGTAAGATATTGTATATCAATAATTGTGAACATTACTTGTTAATTCAGTGATCGGCAAAATAAGAGGTTTTTTCCAAAAGTTATCAATTTTCAGGAGGTATTAACTACCTTTATGAAATAAAACAAAAAATGGCATATATGTAAAGCTGGTAAAAATAAAACTCAACATTTCTTTCAAAATACTGTTTATGCATTTTTATTAATTTGTCTAGAATATGTACAAAAAAAATCATTCATAAAAATCTGTCTTTTATAGCTAATACTGAGTAATTATCACATTTTCTTTCATTTCATAATTTGATGGCTTTCATTAAAGGGAACCCTGCAATTTCTACATTTGTAAAAATCTTCAAATTTTACTGATATTCTTTATACTCCAGACCTCTTCATTGTCTTTGACATGTTGTTCTGAAAATAAATCAAATAGAATGATGTTCCTCAGACATTACTATTATATAGTGCATTTAAAAAAACATGCATTACAAATGAGAGCAAGTTCCATGCAAAATAATTCACATAACAGTTTTCTTACAACAAATCTCATGTAATGTTTGGCATGATGTCATACAAATCAGTGTCCTTTTTTAACTTTTGACCCCCCATTTAAAAAATTTTCCCATGACCTTCACCATGTTCACAGACACAAATGTAGGAATCTATTTCCACTGTCATTTAGGCCTAATACCTCAGGGACAAGTTTGAAATGAATATGTAAAAAAAACATTTCTCTCTCTCTCTCTCTGCATATTGTGCTATATTTTTGCTTATCCATGAATTTTTGGTAGTTGATAGTGCCCCAAACTGAAAATGTTTGGCTGTCCCCCCCCCCCCCCCTCCAACTGAAATTGTTACATACAGGCCTGTACATAAGTGTAAACTTCCCCAACAATTAAGTCACCATTTTAATTGATACAATATCATATCAGCAACAATGTGGGGGAGTGGATACACTAACTGCTTGAATATAACTTTATGATATTTTATGAAAATATTCACTTGCAAGTTCTAGGACATACAGGATTTTTAGTTATCAAATTCTTTCTGTAATTGTCTACATACACACTGCATTTCCATTTGATTTTTAGCTCTACTGGTCAGAGACCAGAGGAGCTTATGCGATAGTATTGTGTTCGTCATTTGTCTGTCTGCCTGAGTGTCTGTCATTCTGTCTGTCCGTCAGTATGTAAACAATTTTTCAAATGCTACTTTACAGTTTTGGTTTGATTTCAATATAACTTGGCACATAATAGACTACACTAAGATACATAATTTAGTACATCTGATTTTGATGAAGTGTTACCATGGTTACTAAACATAGAAATTCCTGTGAAATTCCGTTTAAAGGTCAATCCTCCTACAGTTTAGATCTGATTTCAATATAACTAGGCACACAAGTAGACTACACTTAGATACATAATTCTCTTTGTTGCTGCCTTTTGCAAAGATTCGAATTCAAGTGCTACTTTTCTTGTTATATATGTACAGACCAGTAGAGCTACAGTCTCATCAGAGACTTCTGGTTTTAAAATATATATAGAACAAAATATGCTTACCAACTCTGTTGTCCTTTATTAACTTAGAGAGGTGACGTTTAACATTATTAGCTGCTGATAACTCCAACTCTGGTGCCAAATTCTAAAACAAAAACAAAATAATTAACAAAGATAAGATGGTACTGATTTTAAACTATTAGAATGCAAAGCTTTCAATTCTAACTAATTAAATGACCAGTTTGACATTTTTACTGATTTACAAAAGTTTTAATCAATCAATGAAAACAGATCTTATAATTGTCATAGTTGAATAAATAAGATATCCTTTCCAAGGGAAAAAAGTGAACCCCAAAAACTTTAAATTTTGCAATAGCATAAATGACCTTCTTTGTTCTTTGTGAGGAAGAGTTAATCTAATATGACAACTGAAGATCTTCTCTGAAAAATTATTGGAAGTACATGACTTGTTTAATAATATCAAAATAGAAATGGATAAGCACATACCTCATACACATTTTTTACAATTTCCAGAGGTGTGAAAGATGATGTGGGTTTTGATTCCAAAAACTGAATGATTTGATTCTCTCTCTGTAGACGATGGTTGATATAGAACTGTATTTTTTCTACTGGGTTTTCCACAACCGGCCCATGAGATGGATAGATCACCGATGGATTAAGCTCTGCCATTTTTTGTAATGAGGCCATATATGTGTGGAGGTCATCAAATACCTGTACATAAAGAATTTAATATCTGTCTCCTCCAATATTTCACAGTAATATTTTGTGATCATACAAGCAATTGTCTAAGGTTTCACTGTCATTTTTCTAAGAAATAAATCATTTGATGAGAAATGAATATTACTTAGCTTGTTAGCTAGTTTACTAACTCATAATGGTTAGTCTTACATGTATTTTTTTTTATTCATTGTCTAGATCTTTTTACATCTACATTTTATTAAATGATCTTAGTAAATTAATCCAATCATTTTTATGTCCATCAGGGTAAAATTACTGCTTTATTATTTCCTGAATATTTATTAAATGTAATTCAAAATGCTTACAAACCAAAATTCAAGCTTGATTTTAAAAAAATAAGCTTGTCAGAATTTTATGAAAATGCATGACCAAAAAATGATCAGAACCAAATAAGTTTATGCAAAGATGAAATTATAATTGTATGTCTCAGGATACATGTAGTGTGTTACCAATAAATCAAAAGAGATGAGCATTATACATGCAGGGATGTAAATAACATCCCTGGTATTCATTACCGCTGTAGCTTCTCCTAGGACTGTGTCTCCTGAAAACAGAACCTTGTCCTCTTCTAAAAACAAACAGATATGGTCATCTGTGTGACCCGGGGTAAATATAGTCCTGAAAAAAATATATTAAAATGTGTTACCAGCAATGAGATAAGTGTTACAATGTATTAGGATTAGAACCCAGTGAAGATTTAATACTTGAGTTCAATATATACCCTATTATACATTTCAGGGCAACATACATTTTGTCAGACCCAAGAACCAAATTATTTAATGGTCCTTAAGGCAAACAGTTTGGTTCAAGCTGGGTTAATTAGCAAACAGCATTTTGCCAGAGAACACAGGCAATAAATGCTCCCGTTTTCAATATTTATACTGATCTATGGATGTGTAGAGTTCTATTGTACCTTTATATACTGAATATTTTGTCTGAAGGTTTATACATGTACCTTAGTGTTGCTCCTTCTGTTTTGAACACATGGTTATCTTCTACAAAATGACAGGGAATGGTTCCCAAGTCGACCTCAACCTTCTCTGGGGGCCTTCTGAACTTTGATACTTTGGTTTGATTGGCTGAAAAAAATATCATTATTGGTTTTAAAAAAAAGCACAACAAAATATTAAATGTTTTTAAGATAGTTTTGATCACACTTTTAATTATTGATTAAAGTGTATATATTTCATTGATTTCAACCAGGTAAAAAAGCATGTTTCCAGGTATCAATGTACTTTTTGTTCTACAAAATGAATGAAGGACCAGCTGGTCCACCACAGAAATTCTTCATTTATCCATTCTTATCATTAAATTATTTAAATTGATAGACTTTTTAAATGTCCAGTTGAAATCTGGACAATCTGTATCATTCTAGCTAATTATTGATTACAATAATTGGTGGCTATATCCTGTTATCTGCAACGCGTTGCTTATAAGTTTTGGGGTACTTCAACTGTATTTGAAAAGATGAATGGTAGTGCAACATTATCAGAAAATGGCAAATTATCGATCTTTACGCTTTTACGGAATAAGCCGCATGATTTTAAAGTATCTTAATAACAAACACACTCACTCACAAAAACAAAGCAAAAGAAATGTAGTTAGCCAATAAAAAGTACCAGGAAGTCGCATATTATCGTATTTTACGCTTTTACGGAATAAGCCGCATGATATTATAACTCCTTAAAAACAAACACACACAAAAGAAATCAAAACCCTTAAATGCAATTATACTTATTAAAGAAAAAGTACCACGAAAACGCAAATTATCGTTCTTTTCCGCTTATACGGAATAAGCCGCATGATTTAAAACCATCCTTAAAAAACAAACACACACAAACTCGAATTCAATAAAACAAAACCCTAAAATGTAGTTTGCAAAGAAAAAGTACCAGGAAAACACAAAATAACACACTCACACCAAAACGAAAGTTAGTAGAGAAAATCGTATGGTATCAATGTTGATCAACTCCTAGAGGAATTACCCCCGACTGCATAAAATTAAATATTTTGTTAATATTCATGATGAAACACGTTTAAATATTTTTTCATCACTTTAATTTTTGTTAACACAATATGGCTGTTGTTTATTTCGATATTAATTTTTATATTTTGTATAAATAACCTTTTTGGGTTCTACTGAAAAAGCCACATGAAGGACATATGATATACTTGATAAATAACTATTTCTATATCGCTTGTAATTTCCCTTGACTATTTTGTTAACATTCATAGAAATTGTTCTCTTCACTTTCATCTATTTGTAAAAAAAAAAAATATATGACTGTATTTGTTGCGATAGCTATCACATTTTATTTCAATAAATATCCTTTATTATCCTTTTTAGCGATTTTACCAAATTTCTTGCAAGAAAATACATTTTTTTGGGGTTCATTATTTCAACTGAATTATTCAGTTGAAATAATGAACACGTGAATTGAATAAAACATTTTTTTTAAATATTCGACTATCAAAACCATCTTCCAGAAAAATAGTTCTTTTATAACAGAAGTTTAAACAACATAACAATGAAATTCGTCGCCTTATACTCCTGTTCTTTGCAACGCTCTATGGAGAAATCGATAATTTTACTATGGAGCGTTGCGTGCAACGCATGCAAAATAAAATAGCACTTTATTCCGTCAAATGTCTATATTTTTATCTTGATTCTCCCTAAAAATCCAAGCCCATTTTTTCTGATATTAACCCCCAAAGAAACTTCCCCTTTATGTACACTAATATAGTTTCAATAGCAGGAAAAAAAAAATCGTCGCCCTATATATATACTCCTGTTATTTGCAACGCTCTATGGAGAAATCGGTCATTTTACTATGGAGCGTTGCGTGCAACGCATGCAAAATAAAATAGCGCTTTATTCCGTCAAATGTACTCATTTTAGCTTGATCCTTCCAAAATAACCTAGCCCCATTTTTTCTGATATTAACCCCCCAAGAAAACCCTCTTCCCGGGGAAACTTCCCCTTTATGTACACTAATATAGTTTCAATGTCAGGAAAATAAAATTCGTCGCCCTATATATACTCCTGTTATTTGCAACGCTCTATAGAGAAATTGATAATTTTACTATGGAGTGATGCGTGCAACGCATGCAATATAAAATAGTGCTTTATTCCGTCAAATGTCTATATTTTTATCTTGATTCCCCCCAAAATGCCAAGCCCCATTTTTTCTGATATTAACCCCCCAAGAAAACCCTCTTCCTGGGGAAACTTCCCCTTTATGTACACTTATATAGTATCAATAGCAGGAAAAAAAAATCGTCGCCCTATATATACTCATGTTATTTGCAACGCTCTATGGAGAAATTGGTCATTTTACTATGGAGCGTTGCGTGCAATGCATGCAAAATAAAATAGCGCTTTATTCCGTCAAATGTACTCATTTTAGCTTGATCCCCCCAAAATAACCTAGCCCCATTTTTTCTGATATTAACACCCCAAGAAAACCCTCTTCCCGGGGAAACTTCCCCTTTATGTACACTAATATAGTTTCAATATCAGGAACATAAAATTCGTCGCCCTATATATACTCCTGTTATTTGCAACGCTCTATGGAGAAATCGGTCATTTTACTATGGAGCGTTGCGTGCAACGCATACAATATAAGATAGCGCTTTATTCCGTAAAATGTCTATATTTTTATCTTGATTCCCCCCCAAAAGCCAAGCTTCATTTTTTTCTGATATTAACCCCCCAAGAAAACCCTCTTCCCGAGGAAACTTCTCCTTTGTACTCTTATATAGTTTCGATAGCAGGTAAATAAAATTCGTCGCCGTATATATACTCCTGTTATTTGCAACGCTCTATGGAGAAATCGATAATTTTACTATGGAGTGATGCGTGCAACGCATGCAATATAAAATAGCGCTTTATTCCGTCAAATGTCTATATTTTTATCTTGATTCCCCCCAAAAAAGCCAAGTCCCATTTTTTCTGATATTAACCCCCCAAGAAAACCCTCTTTCCGGGGAAACTTCCCCTTTATGTACTCTTATATACATGTAGTTTCAATAGCAGGTAAATAAAATTCGTCGCCCTATATATACTCCTGTTATTTGCAACGCTCTATGGAGAAATCGATCATTTTACTATGGAGTGATGCGTGCAACGCATGCAATATAAAATGGTGCTTCATTCCGTAAAATGTCTATATTTTTATCTTGATCCCCCCCCCAAAAAAAAAGCCAAGCCCCATTTTTTCTGATATTAACCCCCCAAGAAAACCCTCTTCCCGGGGAAACTTCCCCTTTATGTACACTTAAATATAGTTTCAATATCAGGAAAATAAAATTCGTCGCCCTATATATACTCCTGTTATTTGCAACGCTCTATGGAGAAATCGATCATTTTACTATGGAGCGTTGCATGCAACGTTTTCCAGAATCAGAGAAATAATATGATAAATCTGCTTCGTACTTGTAATTTTAATTATTTTTAGACGCCTTAAAAACATTTCCTTATCGTTTGCTTTATTTTCTCAATTATACCTGAATGAATTTAATTTGATAAGGATCGGTATATGTTATTTCAATTATTTTCTGTGGTAAAAACTTATATGCAACGTGTTGCAAATAACAGGATATAGCCTAATTGGTTAGATACAGTGACCCAAACATCCATTATGAAATTCTTACTGATTCCCATCACAAGTGATTGGTGACTTTTTTGTTTGTCAAGTAATTTTTGCTTGGAAGCTCCCCTTCCCCAAATCTTGTTAAAACCAGCCCCTTCTCCATTCACTCGTGATGAGTGAAGGAGAGGGGGGCTCATTTTTATCAGACTGCCCTTTCCCCAAATGTGTATTTTTTTTTAATTCTGTGGGGTTTAATTACTCACACTTTGTTACATCCCTGCAGACATCAGCAGTTCCCCCTACATGATCTAAGTGCCAGTGGGTCAAGATTATTTCCTGGATTTTAAGCTGGAAGTCGCATAAAACACTCTGGAGATTTTGGATGTAGTTAGGAACATTTGGATCACCAGTGTCAATTAAGATTCTTCTGAAATTACAAGTACTAATACATAAGGAGTTTATCATTCAAGTAATCCCCTTTAAGGCCTTTTGAACAATACCGTTTCTCCAAATGCACACACTTATTTTTCATAAACATGCACGATAATGTAATAAGTATATTGGCTACATTTTTTTCAAAGGGTGTTTTATTAACATTATTCATAAATGGACGAGAAAGGTAGCTTACAATCTTCCCAAATGTCCTAGGCGTCAACACCAAGAAGTGACAGAAACGTCACACTTTTTCACCTTTTGTAGATCTATGATACACAAGGAATAAAATAAGTTTACCTGTCCCCAGTTCCGACTAAATAAGTATTCGTTCCTTGAAGTGTCATTGGATTTGAGTTGCATCCTAAAATTCTTATAACCCTCTCTGACAATTTTTCAATATTAGGTATAAACGACAGTTTTGGCAGTGCCATTTCTTTCACTCAATCCCTGTTGATACTGATAGTCAACGACTTAGATAACCACGTGACTGTCATGTGACGTATTGTTTCGTACATTCATAAAAATGGATTAGTTCGTTCAAGTACTTCAGATATAGTATGTTTAAAGAGTGTTTTTCACTTTTACTAAACAATCAAAATCACTGATACATTGTGTTTTTTGTCGTGTCAAACAACGCAAGTTACTGCAATGAAGTACGAGTTACTAAATTATGAACGCTACCAAAAATGTCAGCTTCCACGAAGTCCCATTGATTGTTCATTTCCCGTGTTTCCTTGCTGTTATTTGCCTTGTTGAACGTTTCTTACAAATCGTTGATCAATAATTTAGTAAGACAACATTCATACATCTCTTTAGAACGATGAAAAAAAAATTAAATTGAGGGTTTAGATGATGTTCGATGTTTCATATGTCATTTTCAAACGTTTGATTTAGAAGAACCTAACATTGAAAGTAATTAGTATATGTCCATCACAATCTGCTGATATAGGTAATTGCTACATAGCTAAATTGTCTATGTTGTTTTCTATTAAAGTGATCTTTACATGTATACTTCCCAAATCAGTGTAGTGTGTACAACACTATAAAGATTTATTTTACTTTATATGAGTTTTATATAGACCTTTTGTTGTTATGTAGAAAAGTAAGGATGGATGATGAGGATGATGATTTTGGGGACTTTGGTGGATTTGTACGATTACAGTGTATACTACATGTACTAGTACTGATGTCAATACTACATTTATGATATACAAATGATTGTAAATAATATATAAACATATATTTCCAAAAACATTTCCCCATAATAATTGCCACTAAATACTATTACACAGGATCTATTGGCTCTTAAAGGGTTAAACATTAGTCAAGAATTTTTAGTTTTAGTCTTTTTTGCCATGTCAACTAACCTATTGATGTTATATTGTATTAAAAGATGAGTTCTGCTAAAGCAACTGTTTGTAAGTTGTAATGCAAACTAAGTAATATGATTTTTTTTTCTCAATTTAATAGAAATCCATGAATAACATGGTTTAAACAAAAAATCTTGATGTTTACCTGAATTGAAATTTTACAGGCAGCTGATCCTGCGTTTCCAGTAGTAGATGAGATTCAGCCAAGTGTGGAAGCAGGCCCTTCACCCTGGGCAATATTAGACACTGGTAGGGAGTGTCCTAAAATCCATCTCTCTAATCATGAAGTTATCAATGTGATAGCCAGTGTTAATGATTGTACAGGGGGTTATCAATAAGTTTGTGGACTGATGCCTTTAATATAAACATGATAAAGTTTAAATTTAAAATACCCTAAAATACCTATTAACCGCCCCTGCCCCTGCCCCTATAAGCACCCTCCTAGGTCTTTTTCAATTGTCAGGAAATAAGGGCCCTCTGTACAGTGATTAAAATCATCTAAAATCGTATCAAAAGTCTGCCAAAATTTGAAGAAAGTGAAAATGAAACTTGTTTATTATCCAATTTCTCTGTGGAAATGAATGATTTAGCATAATTTGGGTGGATTATATTCACTTAAAGTAAAATAAGACATTATTTTAGAGGTTCTTTGAATTTATTTTTTTTTTCAACAAATGTTTGAAGTTTAAAATATGACATTAAATATTATAAAGAGAGACTAAAATAACCGCCTCCCTTTTGCAATTTTCTAAGTGTCTGGGGCAGTTAATAGGCATTATACGGTACTTTTAAATTTTCAAAAGTCAGTTTTAAGTCATTCATTCGACATAATCTTTTCTCACTTCCGAATAAACTATAAGAAATACAATTATCCTTGAATAAATTGTCAATGTTTTGATAAGCTTTGTTATGACCGTGCAATGCAACCTCAGAAAATGTATTTCTGCTAAGGGGCTAAAGGAGATGAATCTTTGGATACATTTGTACATATAATCATTTGTGTCAAGTTTTACTTTTAGCATTCACTTGTGTGATGTAAATTAATTTTAAAGTATAATTATAAATTTTATCATAAATTTATTCAAAAGTGCTGATAAATGTTTTAAAGATGCCAGAACAGGGGGTGTCTCTTCATTAGTGTTTCATCATTCACTGAAACTTAATTAATGTTCATTTATTAAAGGTTCTGTTTATCTCTTCAGCTTCTCGGAGTCAGGTTGGAATGCGACCAGACCTGTTATGTGTTCAGAACCAGTTTCCCCCAGTGTTGGATCCAACAGTTCCGACTCAGCTGTCCAATGGGGATGTGACAAACAATCAGGGACCGACCACACCCCCTCAAGAGTTACCCCCAGCCCTGGACAGTCCAAATAATGTAAATTAAAGATGACTGATTATATTCCAATTTTATACATTGTAACTTTTAAAGTGCCAACAGAATAAATCTTGGTCTGCTATTACAAACTACATCCATGAATGATTTACTATTTAGTCATTTATCTTTAGAAAAGAATAATATAATTATGTACAAGTATTAATTTATATTGCTTTATAGAATGCAGCATCCCTCGTAAATGACATTCTGGATGGTAGTTTCAACAGAGCAACAGAACCTAATTCTCAGAATTCTCATCCAAATCAAGAAGCTAGTGCCCTCCAAGTACCTGACATTCAGGAAACTAATGGCACAGAGACTAACAACTCTGAAACATTCCAATCCCACAATTCTCAGTCAGGAACAAGTGATGGGGCTGCACTGCCAGTCCAGAGACAAGACGCAGCCGCTCAACCGGAACACAGCAGCTCCTCCCAGCCATTCAAGCTTAACACATCTACAACAAAAGATAATAATATAAGATTGGGAGGGGGACTAAATATTGCTGAGATTAAAGTTCCTCAGAAACCAGACACTAATAATATAGTGCCCCCTATTCTTTCTCATGTAAGTTCTTCATTGGGATCACTCTAGATCTGTTAATAGGACATCGGTGCCACATTAATTGAAAATTAAATAACAAAAATTCTATTTCCTCAAAAAAAAATTTAGATTTGAATGATTTGATGGTCCAGTTAAGATTTGAGTCCTCTTTCGGTCCAGATATAAATTAGAAATCAGTATACTTTTAGTAGGGGTTTCATAAATTATACAATACAGCAGACCATTGAATTCTCATACTTTGAGATTATGTTTAATTAATAGGATGCTCAGCCTGTAGAACAACAACTGAGTCTGAGGCAAATTCAACGTGAATCTTCAGATGCTGTCAGAAGTGTTGTACAGGAATACAAGGTATGATGTAATGTTAGAAATGTAGTTCTCTCTATATATAGCAAATAAACATGGTGATTGTTAATCGCTGTTTGTCAGTATGAAAATGCTTTATTCCCTTCAGGTATTTGTTTAGATGAAAGTACATGTATGTAGAACTTCCTTTAAAGATGACATGTAGCAGAATACTGCTTGCTATAGTACATGTGTATAATCTCCAAGTACACTAGATATTCCTATCTTGTCAGACCTTGGTGCAGTCCAGTTTACAGAATCACCAAGAGTCAGTCAACAACCTGCTGCAGAAAAACGACAAAGAGAGACAACTCCAGTTAGAGTTAGCTATAGCTCAGCAGGTACTCTGAACGTTTGACAGCTATACAAGTATTAATCTACTGTATTTAAGTATTGGACAATTATTTCATCCATAACTGCATCCTACCCTACAGATGGCTTAAATAACTGCTTATTATCCCATGTTTTATCATAATATTTATGTGTTGTAGAATAAAGACATGGAAGCAGCTGTACAGGAAATGAGACAAAGCCTCAAAGAAGAACTTGAACGTATTGCTCAAGAATCCATTCACACTTTTAAGGTGAACAGATTTTGATGATATTGTTTTTAATCTACATATTTCTACTTTAAAGGTTTGATTTTTGAAGGAAGACCTTGTTTGTTTTATTGTCCAGTCAATTGTTCTGATTTATTTGTTGTATTGTCCAGTCAATTGTTCTGATTTGTTTGTTTTATTGTCCAGTCAATTGTTCTGATTTGTTTGTTTTATTGTCCAGTCAATTGTTCTGATTTGTTTGTTTTATTGTCCAGTCAATTGATTCGATTTGTTCTTCAGGAGGAAATGAAGGAAACATTAGAGAAGGAGAAGAAACAGATACAGGAAGAAATGCAATCAGAATTACAGGTTTAAATAAGTTTACAACGACATATTGTTTTAGGTTACACTAATACAATCTCTTGAATCAAAAATGTATTGATGTAGACAAATGTAGTTTAATATATGTATAGTAAAACAGGCTAACAGGCTTTTAATGAATTGATGCTGACACAAAGTGGTTGTCATTCCTTGTATCTTTAAAATACATAAGTATACATTGTAAACTTAACAGATTTAACGGAAAACACTTATAATAAAGTTATAAAATGAATCAAAATCGTCAGCCCTTGACACTTCATTATAAGTCTGTTTATCTGTATAAGGAATATTTATTAATTTGTTAAACTTGATATTTTCAGAAGGAAAAAGATCGTATTAATGATCTTGTACAGGAAGCAGTTTCAGCTGAAAGGGAACGAGGTGCACAGCAATTGACAGAACAAAAGGTAACTATAAAGTTATTTCTTGTTTTCTTATCATTTTATGACATCTTTATGTTTTAAGTTCTGTATAAGCATAAAAACTCATCCTGGCTACCCTAATTCATAAAAGATACATGATGCATGAAAATTAAGGTTTGAAAATAAATTGGAGTAGATGCTTGACTCTATGCTGGGATAATTTTATTAAGCACTGTGTTTATTCAATACAGGATCAATTCCTTCAGCTTATTGAGGAAACAAAACAGCAATCTCTGAGTCAAACCCAGAATTTACTGGAGCAGGAAAGGAAGCAGTTTCAGGTAGGCACAATTAGGGATAGATCTAAAAGCACACAGAATGTTTATGATTGTAAGAGGTCATTCAGGTGTTCAAAAAACAAATAACATCTTCCTTTGGCGAGGTTATGTATGTCAGACATATTGCTCCTCTCTACGTATTAATTTGTAAAGGTGTAGACAAAGCTTGTATTTGATTCTAATGTATTATAGAAGAACTTTATAATTATATAAATATATATGCAGAAATATATTCCCCTTTCTCATAATTTGATGGTTTTTAATTTCAGGAAACGCTTAAGAAGCATATGGAGGAAGAGAGGAAATCTCACAAAGAGTCAATGGATCGTGTTATTGAGTTTGCCAATCAAGAAATGCGGACATATCTACAAGAGAATCGGCAGGTCAGCTAGATTTCGAATACAGTGTTTTAAGTCCTGTCATCTGACACAGGAATTTGGATCATTTGTAAATGAATAATTGTCATACAAGAAGTTTAAAAATCCTTCTCTTGCAATTTGTTTCAGAATGCTGGGTTTTTTTTTTCAACCATGAGCCATATTTGTTTAGGAAGTTATTTGTTTTGAATTGTTTATTCTTTAAATGCTGTATTTACAGCAAAAGGACAACTACTTTATGAAAGTACCAGGGGTATTTAACATTATTATAATTTTAGAGAAGTCATAATATAAAAATATCTCTACTTTTCTGACATAAGTGGCTTTTAAATGTGGCTACCCTTTATTGTAGATGGATAGACAATTGCACCAAAGACAGCATGCTAGCTTGGATGTGTTCTTAAGTAGTGCCAGAGAACAGTTAAAACTTTTAATGGAAAATGATACCATGTTACCAAATGAACGAGAGAGTGAGGAAGAGAATAGTAACCCAGAGGAAAAAGGCTCTTCAAATGATACATGATTATTCAACATACCCTCTGCATGCAAAAAAAACATATTTTTCAAATCAGAAAATTTGACGCATTCTTTGAAAAATATAAACTAATATTTGTTCAATGACATTCTGTCAAATATGATCTCTTCATTATTTGCTTAAAATAGATTTTTGAAAAGTCTTAAGGAAACAGTAATTCTCTTTAAAAATATCCAGAAAATATATTAACTGTATTATCAAATAATGCACAAACTTCAGAATACTGTGTGTGTACATAATTTGGCGTATTCAAAATTTAGCACAATCAATGGGTGTGGAGTTGTTGGCGTACTAATGAATTAGTGCTACACAAATTCCTGATGTATATTCTTTTTATAAATGAATATTTAACAGCATTCATGAATTAGTGCATTTTTCTCTGCGCCAAAGCCGCTAAAATATGAAGCCCGTTATTTAAAGATAAATATTTCCTTTTCATGTATATGTAGTAATTTGTTATTGCATCAGTTTAGTCTCTTTTTCCTCAAAATGAGAAATATCTGCAATATACTCAACAAAAAGTGCAATATTTGTTGCTAGTTCACGCTAATGAATACATGTACTGTAGATTCCTTATTTTTTGCGGATACTTTTTATCTTGAATGGGCTCTTCAACAGCAAATCGTGAGATCAAAAGTTTTATCATAGATTTTAGCACCATAAAAAAAATAAATACGAGTAATTTAATTTAGTTTTTGGTGCTTCTCGCAAAATTATGCGATAATTAATTCCACGCTTATATTAAGGAATCTACAGTATGAAGAATGATGCAAATTTACTGTTGTTTTCAAAGAAACTAAAAACTAGACATATATGTTTTATAATGTAATTCCAATGTTCTTCTCCTAAAACGAGCAACTTGTGCTAATTACTTGTGGGAGAAGAGAAAATGAAATTCTGCTTGTAGCAGCAGTGTATACATATCAAGGACTTCTAAGATAGTCATGTAAATATATGTATGAAATACAATTGTAGAAAAAGATTTTGCTATTCCTACATCATGCATATATATTGGCTGTTGATCATTTTCTAAAAAAAAAAAACAAACAAAAACAAAATACCAACATGTGGGGAAAAGGTTGAATTCTTTTTTTGTATTTTCATTCCTTAAATATATTTTAATTTTGGAAACATTTCAGAGGTTGACATTTTCATCATATTTGTACAAGAAAAGAAGGAGAATATATGTTGAGCTTTATTCACATGCACAATTAACGAAAATAAATTGGGATACTAGTACTCTCATACCAAAATTTGTGATTTTTTTTTTTCTGCATCTGGTTATTTCATGGGTGTATGTTTGTCAAAAATCAATCATTGGTATGCATGCATTGTATCATGAGTTCTAAAAAATAGCATTTGTAAACAGTCATTATAATTACTTAGTCTAGCGAACTGCAAGAAAAGAAAGAGAACATATGTTGAGCTTACTTCATATATACAATTAATGAAAATTTACTTGGATACAAGTACTCTCATAAAAAATGGGTTTTTTGTAATTTTTTTCTGCATCTGGTTATATTCATGACTAAAGTATATTGTGTTAAAAGCCAAATTTTAAGGGCATATAGACTCAAAAGTCATATTTTTAAAAATTTATTTGGAAATGCCCTTTCATAGGTTATGTTCTCATGAAATAATTAAAATCTTTCTTTTTTCATTCAAAAGTTATGATCAAGCTTAAGTTATTCCGACAGATTGATTGTATACTAGTACATGTATTGTTTAACGTCCCTCTCGAGAATTTTTCACTCAAATGGAGACGCCACAACTTGCCGGTGGAGAGCTGCAAATTTTGACCTAAGCTCGGTACTCAGGGCCATTGCGCAGAGAGGGATCTTTTTCATGCCAGCACCTACTCTGACACGGGACCTCAGTTTATACGGTCTCATGCATCCAAAGACTGGTCTCAACGTCCCACAGTGGGATTTGAACCCATGACATAAGGATCTACTCATTACTTCGTGACTCTAGAGCAGAGGCTCTAACCACTGCACCACACGGGCGACCTATTTTGATTGAAGGAAAGAAAGAACGAAAGGCGAATGAGATTAAATTCTTACGTGCTCTCACAAAAGCGGGGGTATCAAAAATTACTCTGAAGAAAATACATTTTCAGAAATTGTTCGGACATCGGTTACGGGGTCAGAAATAACGTCTTTATGACTACAAAATATATCAAAATGCCATCCTTTGTAATTCAAGGGTTTGAATTGCTGTAAATCTTACATGTAACAAGTTACTGTAAAAGTGGAAAGTTTGACGAGGAGGTAACATTGACGAATTTGACGAATGGCTTTAGCTCGTCAAAGTTTCTTCTCGCCAATTTTTTTTATTCATTGTTGTCCTCCGCATAGGATTTTAAATGGATCACTAAAACGAAAATAAAAGGAATAGTGAATTCAATTTACTAAATGGACCACAATCTATTCTTTAGAACAAATAAAAAAAAACCTGTTATAAAACATTCTTTCTGACTAATTCATAACAAGGGTTATCAATTAAGCTTTCGGAAAACGTGTCTGTATCTTTTATGACTTCCGAACTATAAAAGAGGCTTGCCATTTTATTATGGAGATAAAAGAATGGAATTACATCTTTCATAAAAAAAACTACTTAGATAATTAAAAAGTACCTTTAAGTTTATAATACCCAGTAGCTAGACTCGTCAAAACATATTCATAAAATCTGTTAGAATCCCATTCAAAGTTCATTTAATCAATACAACCCATATCCTTCCTTGCACCCATGTTAATGCAGTTGAACACCTTCAATTTTTTTTCTTTTTAAGTAATTACCTCAAGGTTTACAAACATATGAGTATATAAGTATAGAGATTTTTCAAACAATATTGCATAATCTTTAAATAATTATAATTAAATTTAAATAAAAGCTTTTCAAAACAATATATAACAGAAACACAGTAAATTTTGTTTATATTAAAATGACTTTCATACATAGAGTAGAGCATATAGAGCGATTTTGTGCACGGTGGAAAGCGAAGACAAGACAAAAAGACAGTTTTAATTAGCCACATATCACTGCATCTCAACAAAAGAAGATCTCGAAAGCGGGGAAGCATTACTTCCCTGAGTTTATTTGTATTCATTGTGTTGAATTGTCAATCTTTTTAATCTATTCTTATTAAGGAATGACTTTTATTTCCGTTGTAAAAATTAAGAAATTCCTCTTTTAGAGAATATATTTTGAAGTACAGAGAAAATTTGAAACTGCTTTGAAACAGATGTTTTTTTCAATAAAAATGGAACTCGAAAATATACTTACCTTCTCGTTGGTCATTTGCAAAATTATTTTGTTAAAACATTCTGATACTCCGAAGTTCACATCAAAAAGATGCTTAAGTTTCTGATTGACAATATCTATATGGTTTTTGGAGACCAGGTTTTCCACAATCTATTGGAATTCCCATGGGAACCAATTGCACCCCGTTATTAACAGACTTATTTTTGTATTCATATCTCCATTATGAAGCAGAATTTTTCCAAAATCTTATACTTGAAAACAAGAAAACACTTCCTGTAGCTTTCAACTCGACATTTAGATATATAAATAAAAGAAACCACAGAGTCTGACACATCTGTTTCATATTTGGGTATTTTACTTGAAAATGACGTAAATGGTGATCTATCAACCAAGCTCTATGACAAACTAACTTTTATGAAGCAGAATTTATTCAAATACTCGTAAAAAAGAATTACGAGTAAAAGAAGTATATTGCTGTGGCTTTTAATTAAACATTTAGATAAATAAATAATATTTATTTTCATTCCTACGTTGATTTGATATATCCCTTTAAAGTAAAAGATACCACAGATTTTGATTTTTCATATTTGGACTTTTAATTAGAAAAATACCTGGTAACCCATAAACAACAAAGGTTTTATGATACGTGATAACGTCAATTTTTCTGCCAAATTTTTTATATTTTTTATACATATTCTTCACCACTCGCATATGGAGTTTGTCTAAACGATCAATAATTCAATATCCAAAGTGAGGCACATCAATGATCAAATTAAGAAGTTGTGGTGAAGAATGTTATCGACAGTTGCGTTTTATTCATCGTTTCGCAAGTTCAATTGTCGAAATTAAATCTCTGTCAGCAAATACAATCATAAAGTCAAATGCTGGCTATCATTAACATATATATCATTAAACAATTATTTACATACTGAATTGTCTACAGACCTTCTGTTTGTCTAAACCGTGGCAGGGAGCACACTCCGGGTGAGACCGGTTGCCAGAGGATGCCCACTCTATCACTGCACTTGACTCCACCTCTGGTGTTTTAGAGGTCCGTGCTTTCTCTTGTCTTGGTCTGTATTATTTGCATGGACTTTTGAGCCTAAATACTGTTCGCTGTCTTCTTAAAACACATTGTAGAAATTTGTTATTTTATGTATTATTTCCCAAAATTATGAGGTCATTCGAAATGGAGAATTGGAGAATTAAATGGTCTTAGTCATCTCGCTCATTTCCGGTGTTGTATGCTTCCACATTGCGTGGATACATTGGCAAAAACCAGAACAGGTGTTTTGTTGTTTTTGTGACACCAGCTAACCGAAATACCTTTTGTTTTATTGTTCTAATTATGATCAAATCACAAATCAATTATTTGCAGAACATTACTGTTTCAGTATTCTATTCATATGGATCACTGTAAGAAATTAGAATTTTAATGTCATTTTATCAAAGAAACCATGCAGAAGTTTGCGTAATGTACATGTTATAGTATATTGAGGAGAACCGAACTAAGTGTCAGATTAAAAAGTAAAATAAGAGGTGCACAATGACATTATGTAATAAAGAACTGTAAAAGTATTATCAAATTTTATTCAGTGGTATAGGATGAGTTATGAGAGTCTCATCAAATTTAAATTCAGTGGTTAATGAGGATTTTCATATAAGAGATAGGTATCTCAGTGCGTAACGGACGGACGGACACCCATCAATATCCCCTCTCCCCCATTTTTAAGTGGGATGTATAATGAACACACTACTATTTGTTAATCAATTGGATTGATCAGTTGGGAATTTTATTTTGAATAATTAATGAACTATAAATTAGACAAAAGCAATGATATAATGAACAGCGATCCGTTTAGAGAATTGCTTTGAAATTTTATAATACTCTTAAAATGGAAACATTTAAGTGAAAATACCGTCATCTAGTAATTTGCTTTGTTGAATTATTCGCACATCGTTTTTCGATTCGTGTTTTTTAAATGAAATTTTAATGCTTTTTTTCATATTGACAAAAAGAGGTTTCCTTTTTAAATAGTTATATGATACTAAAAGATACACGATTTTAATTTACTGTAAATAATTCACATTATCAAAATTTGATACGTTCATTTTGAATGATTTGCGTTCAGAGATCAGATACTAAACTATTAGCTATACAACATGAGTGTAAATAATATAACCTTGTCCAATAGTTCCTTAGTTTTACTCGAATTGAAAATGACTGAACAACTGTAAAATTTTTCATATAAAGCGTGTTACGCTGGTCAAAATTGAAATAAAAAATTAAAATATTTACACATTAGCTAGGATCGAGCTGATATGTCTGTACACATTACGATTTACTTTCACTTTACATTTTGAAAATAATGTATACATTTAATGAACATGACACTTTATAAACATATATGAATAAAAAGCTTTAATTTATACCGGTATATAAAAAAGCAGTGTTCAAGAATAAAACAAAAGAAAAAAACATTAACGAAGCTGAATCTGTAGACATTGCTGCGGATAATTTTACATCGGAATTCCTTTCCTGTGTTCACGAATGCATACCTGAATAAACTATAACCATTCGCCCTCGTGACAAACCATGGATGGATACAATGTTACGTAAAACAATAAGAAAAAGAAACCGTCTTCATAAGTTTAAGAAAGCTAAAAAAAAACTAAAAAAAAAATATCCGATAAGACTGCTTATAGAAAAGTTCGTAATTCAGTCAACAATATGAAAAAACCCAAACACGCCATTTCAAACTACTACGATAATTTAGAAACCTATTTGGAAGATTCTAGTAAAATAACAATGAGTTATATTGGAAGTTGATGAAAAATTCATTTGATATAAAATTTTCTAACGAAATACCACCAAATACAAATACTGAATGATAACGGTTTAAGACAAGTAGCTTATTCCGACCAAGACAAGATTGAAGCATTAAATTTGTTTTTTTCTTCGATTTCATCTATTGATAATTCTAATGAAATAC